CCGATGCTGGGTTGTCCTGAAACTCGGTGAACACCTGCAAAACAAGGCAAAGGACTGCCACACTAATTTTCAGACCAATCAAAGCTCGGTAGATGAGTCAGCAGCCGAAATGGTGAACTCGGGTGTTACCAAAAAAGAGTAACACACACTTCCGGGATGCCATAAATCTTGAAACTAAAAATGTTGCCATGCCTTGTAAACTGCTTCAATGATTCTGAAACTTTGAGGGTATGAAGAACACATCTTCAAGCACCACCCCACAAAATTCCAGAAGCTGAGCAGGCTTGTAGGCTGAATGGGAGTGCGATGACCGTGCCACTGTAGTACTTTGGCACAACATTTAACACACGGTGGGTTGAGCACACGGTAGGTTTTACACACTGTTGGTTTAACACACGGTAGGTTTAACACACGGTAGGTTTAACACACGGTGGGTTGAACACACGGTAGGTTTAACACACGGTGGGTTGAACACACGGTGGGTTTAACACACGGTGGGTTTAACACACGGTGGGCTTAACACGCGGTGGGTTTAACACACGGTGGATTGAACGCACGGTGGGTTTAACACACGGTGGGTTGAACGCACGGTGGGTTTAACACACGGTGGGTTTAACACACGGTGGGTTTAACACGCGGTGGGTTTAACACACGGTGGGTTGAACTCACGGTGGGTTTAACACACGGTGGGTTGAACGCACGGTGGGTTTAACACACGGTGGGTTGAACGCACGGTGGGTTTAACACACGGTGGGTTGAACGCACGGTAGGTTTAACACACGGTAGGTTTAACAAACGGTAGGTTTAACACACGGTAGGTTTAACACACGGTGGGTTGAACACACGGTGGGTTGAAAACACGGTGGGTTGAACACACGGTGGGTTTAACACACGGTGAGTTGAACACACGGTAGGTTTAACACACGGTAGGTTTAACACACGGTAGGTTTAACACACGGTGGGTTTAACACACGGTGGGTTGAACACACGGTAGGTTTAACACACGGTAGGTTTAACACACGGTAGGTTTAACACATGGTGGGTTGAACACACGGTAGGTTTAACACACGGTGGGTTTAACACACGGTAGGTTTAACACAAGGTAGGTTGAACGCACGGTGGGTTTAACACACGGTGGGTTGAACGCACGGTAGGTTTAACACACGGTAGCTTTAACACACGGTGGGTTGAACACACGGTGGGTTGAAAACACGGTGGGTTTAACACACGGTGGGTTTAACACACGGTGGGTTTAACACACGGTGGGTTTAACACGCGGTGGGTTTAACACACGGTGGGTTGAACGCACGGTGGGTTTAACAGACGGTGGGTTGAACGCACGGTGGGTTTAACACACGGTGGGTTGAACGCACGGTAGGTTTAACACACGGTAGGTTTAACACACGGTAGGTTTAACACACGGTAGGTTTAACACACGGTAGCTTTAACACACGGTGGGTTGAACGCACGGTGGGTTTAACACACGGTGGGTTTAACACACGGTGGGTTGAACGCACGGTGGGTTTAACACACGGTGGGTTGAACGCACGGTGGGTTTAACACACGGTGGGTTGAACACACGGTAGGTTTAACACACGGTAGGTTTAACACACGGTAGGTTTAACACACGGTAGGTTTAACACACGGTGGGTTGAACACACGGTTGGTTTAACACACGGTGGGTTGAACACACGGTGGGTTGAACCCACGGTAGGTTTAACACACGGTAGGTTTAACACACGGTAGGTTTAACACACGCTAGGTTTAACACACGGTGGGTTGAACACACGGTGGGTTGAAAACACGGTGAGTTTAACACACGGTGGGTTTAACACACGGTGGGTTGAGCACACGGAAGGTTTTACACACTGTTGGTTTAACACACGGTAGGTTTAACACACGGTAGGTTTAACACACGGTGGGTTGAACACACGGTAGGTTTAACACACGGTGGGTTGAACACACGGTGGGTTTAACACACGGTGGGTTTAACACACGGTGGGTTTAACACGCGGTGGGTTTAACACACGGTGGATTGAACGCACGGTGGGTTTAACACACGGTGGGTTGAACGCACGGTGGGTTTAACACACGGTGGGTTTAACACACGGTGGGTTTAACACGCGGTGGGTTTAACACACGGTGGGTTGAACTCACGGTGGGTTTAACACACGGTGGGTTGAACGCACGGTGGGTTTAACACACGGTGGGTTGAACGCACGGTGGGTTTAACACACGGTGGGTTGAACGCACGGTAGGTTTAACACACGGTAGGTTTAACAAACGGTAGGTTTAACACACGGTAGGTTTAACACACGGTGGGTTGAACACACGGTGGGTTGAAAACACGGTGGGTTGAACACACGGTGGGTTTAACACACGGTGGGTTGAACACACGGTAGGTTTAACACACGGTAGGTTTAACACACGGTAGGTTTAACACACGGTAGGTTTAACACACGGTGGGTTGAACACACGGTAGGTTTAACACACGGTGGGTTTAACACACGGTGGGTTTAACACACGGTGGGTTTAACACACGGTGGGTTTAACACACGGTGGGTTGAACTCACGGTGGGTTTAACACACGGTGGGTTGAACGCACGGTGGGTTTAACACACGGTGGGTTGAACGCACGGTGGGTTTAACACACGGTGGGTTGAACGCACGGTAGGTTTAACACACGGTAGGTTTAACAAACGGTAGGTTTAAGCACGGAGAAGTGAATCAAGCACGGAGAAGTGAATCAAGCACGGAGAAGTGAATCAAGCACGGAGAAGTGAATCAAGCACGGAGAAGTGAATCAAGCACGGAGAAGTGAAACAAGCACGGAGAAGTAAATTAAGCACGGAGAAGTGAATCAAGCACGGAGAAGTGAATCAAGCACGGAGAAGTGAAACAAGCTCGGAGAAGTGAAACAAGCACGGAGAAGTGAAACAAGCACGGAGAAGTGAAACAAGCACGGAGAAGTGAAACAAGTACGGAGAAGTGAAACAAGCACGGAGAAGTGAAACAAGCACGGAGAAGTGAAACAAGCACGGAGAAGTGAAACAAGCACGGAGAAGTGAAACAAGCACGGAGAAGTGAATCAAGCACGGAGAAGTGAATCAAGCACGGAGAAGTGAATCAAGCACGGAGAACTGAATCAAGCACGAAGAAGTGAATCAAGCACGGAGAAGTGAAACAAGCACGGAGAAGTAAATTAAGCACGGAGAAGTGAATCAAGCACGGAGAAGTGAATCAAGCACGGAGAAGTGAAACAAGCACGGAGAAGTGAAACAAGCACGGAGAAGTGAAACAAGCACGGAGAAGTGAAACAAGCACGGAGAAGTGAAACAAGCACGGAGAAGTGAAACAAGCACGGAGAAGTGAAACAAGCACGGAGAAGTGAAACAAGCACGGAGAAGTGAAACAAGCACGGAGAAGTGAAACAAGCACGGAGAAGTGAATCAAGCACGGAGAAGTGAAACAAGCACGGAGAAGTGAAACAAGCACGGAGAAGTGAATCAAGCACGGAGAAGTGAATCAAGCACGGAGAAGTGAAACAAGCACGGAGAAGTGAAACAAGCACGGAGAAGTGAAACAAGCACGGAGAAGTGAATCAAGCACGGAGAAGTGAAACAAGCACGGAGAAGTGAAACAAGCACGGAGAAGTGAATCAAGCACGGAGAAGTGAATCAAGCACGGAGAAGTGAATCAAGCACGGAGAAGTGAATCAAGCACGGAGAAGTGAATCAAGCACGGAGAAGTGAAACAAGCACGGAGAAGTAAATTAAGCACGGAGAAGTGAATCAAGCACGGAGAAGTGAATCAAGCACGGAGAAGTGAATCAAGCACGGAGAAGTGAAACAAGCACGGAGAAGTGAAACAATTGTCAACAGTGAGGAATAGATTGGGTTGGTCAAGGTCAAGAAGTGCAAGGAGTGAGAGAGAGTGTCTGTGACAGCGAAGGGGGGAAGGAAAGAAAAGGGAGGGAGAGAGAGGGGGGTTGCTGGAAAGTAGAAGAGGGAGGGAGGTGTGATTGCAATATAGTACTGTCACATGCACAAAGTGTGTCCAGGTACAGAAACGGCACCTCTTACCCACCTGATGTTGTCACATGCGCAATGCACCCAGTGCTCGCATTTGTCACAACACACCATTGGCGTTGGCTCTGAGTCCCGATACACCTGCGATGAGGGCGGTGGGATGGGGATGCATGTATAGTGTCAACACATTAGACTCACATGCAGACTCACATGCAGACTCACATGCAAACACACATGCATACACACATGCATACACACATGCATACACACATGCATACACACATGCATACACACATGCATACACACATGCATACACACATGCAGAATCACATGCAGAATCACATGCAGACACACATGCAGACACACATGCATACACACATGCAGAGACACATGCACACACACATGCATACACACATGCATACACACATGCATACACACATGCATACACACATGCATACACACATGCATACACACATGCATACACACATGCAGAATCACATGCAGATACACATGCAGACACACATGCATACACACATGCAGGCACACATGCATACACACATGCATACACACATGCACACACACATGCATACACACATGCATACACACATGCATACACACATGCAGACTCACATGCATACACACATGCATACACACATGCAGGCACACATGCATACACACATGCATACACACATGCATACACACATGCATACACACATGCAGACTCACATGCAGACACACATGCAGACACACATGCATACACACATGCAGAGACACATGCATACACACATGCATACACACATGCATACACACATGCACACACACGCACAGGCACACATGCATACACACATGCATACACACATGCATACACACATGCAGACAGTCAGCGAGAGTAGGAATGAGAGCCTGGAAACACCTGATGATGATCAAATGCAAACGGAGGCATTTGTTTCAGCCAGTCACTGTCAGTCACAGTCAGTCACGCCCCAGCTGCACCCACCCCAGCTGCCCCACTCCACCTACCCTGAAGCACGGGACTTGGCAATGATGATTCGCCACCAAGAGCATACCTCACCTGCACTTTATCTCCCCCTGCCGCACCTACCCCCCAGCTGCCCCACCCCAGCTGCCCCACCCCAGCTGCCCCACCCCAGCTGCCCCACCCCAGCTGCCCCACCCCAGCTGCCCCACCCCAGCTGCCCCACCCCAGCTGCCCCACCCCAGCTGCCCCACCCCAGCTGCCCCACCCCAGCTGCCCCACCCCAGCTGCCCCACCCCAGCTGCCCCACCCCAGCTGCCCCACCCCAGCTGCCCCACCCGGGCTGCACCCTCCCCAGCAGTGCTTTCCTCCCCCACGTGGACCTACCCTGAGGCAGACGGGGCACCTACCCTGAGGCAGACGGGGCACCTACCCTGAGGCAGACGGGGCACCTACCCTGAGGCAGACGGGGCACCTACCCTGAGGCAGACGGGGCACCTACCCTGAGGCAGACGGGGCACCTACCCTGAGGCAGACGGGGCACCTACCCTGAGGCAGACGGGGCACCTACCCTGAGGCAGACGGGGCACCTACCCTGAGGCAGACGGGGCACCTACCCTGAGGCAGACGGGGCACCTACCCTGAGGCAGACGGGGCACCTACCCTGAGGCAGACGGGGCACCTACCCTGAGGCAGACGGGGCACCTACCCTGAGGCAGACGGGGCACCTACCCTGAGGCAGACGGGGCACCTACACTGAGGCAGACGGGGCACCTACCCTGAGGCAGACGGGGCACCTACCCTGAGGCAGACGGGGCACCTACCCTGAGGCAGACGGGGCACCTACCCTGAGGCAGACGGGGCAGTGCTTCTTCTTGACGAAGAGGCGGCCACAGGCGTCACACAGCATGTAGTTGAAGAACCACCTGCGGGCGGTGGGAAGAACGAGCGGACAGGCGGTCAGGAGGGAACAAAACGGGATAGGGGAAAAGGGCAAGGTGTCAAAGAGCATGTAGCGAAAAACCCCCTGGGGGGATGGGGAAGGGGAGGGGGGTGGGAGAATGGGGGGAGGAGGAGGGGAGAGGAGGATGGGAGAGTGAGAAGTGTGACAGAACATGTAGTTGAGGCAGCAGCTGGAGGGGTGGGTGGGGGGGAGAGGTAAGCCGAAGGGGGAAAGAGGAGGGGAGCGAGAGGAGGAAGGGGGGAGGCAAGGCAGCACAAAGCATGGAAGGGGGGAGGAAAGGCAGCACAAAGCATGTGGTTGAAAGGCAGCACTCCCTGTTATCCCCACTCCCTGTTATCCCCACTCCCTGTTATCCCCACTCCCTGTTATCCCCACTCCCTGTTATCCCCACTCCCGGTTATTCCCTCGTCTCACCGCGAGGACGTGCCACTGCCCGGCACTTTGGAGCCGCAGCTGTGGCACTGCGTGTGGCTGGGACACAGGAAGGGACCCTTGAAGGGCGACTGGTGGGGTGCAGAGGGATGCAGAAGGTGCAGTGCAGAGGGATGGAGAGAGGTGCAGATGTGTGAGTGAAGAGGAACGTAGAGGGGTGCAGAAGGGAGCAGAGGAACGAAGAAGCGGGTAGATGGTGCAGAGGGGTGCAGAGAGGTGCAGAGAATATTGTGAGGGACAGCAGCATAGTGTTTGGCCTGCATGAAGCACAGCAGCTCACCGAACACAGCAACACACTTCCTCAATCGCACACAGCAACGCACTTCCTCAATCGCACACAGCAACGCACTTCCTCAATCACACACAGGAACGCACTTCCTCAATCACACACAGCAACGCACTTCCTCAATCACATACTCACACCCTCGCTCGCTCACTCACTCACGCACTCGCACTCATTCAAGCACAGGACATGTGCTCACCTTGGTGTGCAGCTGAGTGCATGCCACATGGTAGCCCCTGTCACAGCGATAGCAGCACACGATGGACGACGGCTCCCCGTAGCGCTGGCAGGCCTGCTCGGGGTTTAGGGACAGGCAAGGCAACACAAAGTGTGGAGGCAGGGACGTGTGAGTTGGTGGGGAGGTGTGAGTTGGTGGGGAGGTGTGAGTTGGTGGTGAGGTGTGAGTTGGTGGTGAGGTGTGAGTTGGTGGTGAGGTGTGAGTTGGTGGTGAGGTGTGAGTTGGTGGTGAGGTGTGAGTTGGTGGGGAGGTGTGAGTTGGTGGGGAGGTGTGAGTTGGTGGGGAGGTGTGAGTTGGTGGGGAGGTGTGAGTTGGTGGGGAGGTGGTTCAGAGCAGCACGGGATGGACGACCGTAGCGGTGGCAGGCCTGACAGAAAATATCACGGTTTAGGGTTCAAGGTTTCACGGTTTAGGATTCAAGGTTTCACGGTTTAGGGGCAGGCAAAGCAGAGTGAAACATGATAGTAGCAGAGGATGGATGTGGGTTCCCAGCCAGCAGAGAGAGGAGGAGCAAGGGCACACGAGAGAGAGGAGGAGCAAGGGCACACAAGAGAGAGGAGGAGCAAGGGCACACGAGAGAAAGGAGCAAGGGCACACGAGAGAAAAGAGCAAGGGCACACGAGAGAAAGGAGCAAGGGCACACGAGAGAAAGGAGCAAGGGCACACGAGAGAAAGGAGCAAGGGCACACGAGAGAAAGGAGCAAGGGCACACGAGAGAAAGGAGCAAGGGCACACGAGAGAAATGAGCAAGGGCACACGAGAGAAAGGAGCAAGGGCACACGAGAGAAAGGAGCAAGGGCACACGAGAGAAAGGAGCAAGGGCACACGGTAGGTTTAACACACGGTGGGTTGAACACACGGTGGGTTGAAAACACGGTGGGTTGAACACACGGTGGGTTTAACACACGGTGGGTTGAACACACGGTAGGTTTAACACACGGTAGGTTTAACACACGGTAGGTTTAACACACGGTGGGTTGAACACACGGTAGGTTTAACACACGGTGGGTTTAACACACGGTGGGTTTAACACACGGTGGGTTTAACACACGGTGGGTTTAACACATGATGGGTTTAACGAGCGGTGGGTTTAACACACGGTGGGTTGAACGCACGGTGGGTTTAACACACGGTGGGTTGAACGCACGGTGGGTTTAACACACGGTAGGTTGAACACACGGTAGGTTTAACACACGGTAGGTTTAACACACGGTAGGTTTAACACACGGTAGGTTTAACACACGGTGGGTTGAACACACGGTAGGTTTAACACACGGTGGGTTTAACACACGGTGGGTTTAACACACGGTGGGTTGAACTCACGGTGGGTTTAACACACGGTGGGTTGAACGCACGGTGGGTTTAACACACGGTGGGTTGAACGCACGGTGGGTTTAACACACGGTGGGTTGAACGCACGGTAGGTTTAACACACGGTAGGTTTAACAAACGGTAGGTTTAACACACGGTAGGTTTAACACACGGTGGGTTGAACACACGGTGGGTTGAAAACACGGTGGGTTGAACACACGGTGGGTTGAACACACGGTGGGTTGAACACACGGTAGGTTTAACACACGGTAGGTTTAACACACGGTAGGTTTAACACACGGTAGGTTTAACACACGGTGGGTTGAACACACGGTAGGTTTAACACACAGTGGGTTTAACACACGGTGGGTTTAACACACGGTGGGTTTAACACACGGTGGGTTTAACGAGCGGTGGGTTTAACACACGGTGGGTTGAACGCACGGTGGGTTTAACACACGGTGGGTTGAACGCACGGTGGGTTTAACACACGGTAGGTTGAACACACGGTAGGTTTAACACACGGTAGGTTTAACACACGGTAGGTTTAACACACGGTAGGTTTAACACACGGTGGGTTGAACACACGGTAGGTTTAACACACGGTGGGTTTAACACGGTTAACACACGGTGGGTTTAACACACGGTGGGTTTAACACGCGGTGGGTTTAACACACGGTGGGTTGAACGCACGGTGGGTTTAACACACGGTGGGTTGAACGCACGGTGGGTTTAACACACGGTAGGTTGAACACACGGTAGGTTTAACACACGGTAGGTTTAACACACGGTAGGTTTAACACACGGTAGGTTTAACACACGGTGGGTTGAACACACGGTAGGTTTAACACACGGTGGGTTTAACACACGGTGGGTTTAACACACGGTGGGTTTAACACACGGTGGGTTTAACACGCGGTGGGTTTAACACACGGTGGGTTGAACGCACGGTGGGTTTAACACACGGTGGGTTGAACGCACGGTGGGTTTAACACACGGTGGGTTGAACGCACGGTAGGTTTAACACACGGTGGGTTTAACACACGGTAGGTTTAACACACGGTAGGTTTAACACACGGTGGGTTGAACACACGGTGGGTTGAAAACACGGTGGGTTTAACACACGTTGGGTTTAACACACGTGGGTTGAACACACGGTCGGTTTAACACACGGTCGGTTTAACACACGGTAGGTTTAACACACGGTAGGTTTAACACACGGTGGGTTGAACACACGGTAGGTTTAACACACGGTGGGTTTAACACACGGTGGATTTAACACACGGTGGGTTTAACACACGGTGGGTTTAACACGCGGTGGGTTTAACACACGGTGGGTTAAACGCACGGTGGGTTTAACACACGGTGGGTTGAACGCACGGTGGGTTTAACACACGGTGGGTTGAACACACGGTAGGTTTAACACACGGTAGGTTTAACACACGGTAGGTTTAACACACGATAGGTTTAACACACGGTGGGTTGAACACACGGTAGGTTTAACACACGGTGGGTTGAACACACGGTGGGTTGAAAACACGGTGGGTTTAACACACGGTGGGTTTAACACACGGTGGGTTGAACACACGGTAGGTTTAACACACGGTAGGTTTAACACACGGTAGGTTTAACACACGGTAGGTTTAACACACGGTAGGTTTAACACACGGTGGGTTTAACACACGGTGGGTTTAACACACGGTGGGTTTAACACACGGTGGGTTTAACACGCGGTGGGTTTAGGTTTAACACACGGTGGGTTGAACGCACGTTGGGTTTAACACACGGTGGGTTGAACACACGGTAGGTTTAACACACGGTAGGTTTAACACACGGTAGGTTTAACACACGGTAGGTTTAACACACGGTGGGTTGAACACACGGTGGGTTGAAAACACGGTGGGTTTAACACACGTTGGGTTTAACACACAGTGGGTTGAACACACGGTCAGTTTAACACACGGTAGGTTTAACACACGGTAGGTTTAACACACGGTAGGTTTAACACACGGTGGGTTGAACACACGGTAGGTTTAACACACGGTGGGATTAACACACGATGGGTTTAACACACGGTGGGTTTAACACACGGTGGGTTTAACACACGGTGGGTTAAACGCACGGTGGGTTTAACACACGGTGGGTTGAACGCACGGTGGGTTTAACACACGGTTGGTTGAACACACGGTAGGTTTAACACACGGTAGGTTTAACACACGTTAGGTTTAACACACGATAGGTTTAACACACGGTGGGTTGAACACACGGTAGGTTTAACACACGGTGGGTTTAACACACGGTGGGTTTAACACACGGTGGGTTGAACACACGGTAGATTTAACACACGGTAGGTTTAACACACGGTAGGTTTAACACACGGTAGGTTTAACACACGGTAGGTTTAACACACGATAGGTTTAACACACGGTAGGTTTAACACACGTTAGGTTTAACACACGGTGGGATTAACACACGATGGGTTTATCACGCGGTGGGTTTAACACACGGTGGGTTTAACACGCAGTGGGTTTAACACACGGTGGGTTGAACGCACGGTGGGTTTAGCACACGGTGGGTTGAACGCACGGTGGGTTTAACACACGGTGGGTTGAACACACGGTAGGTTTAACACACGGTAGGTTTAACACACGGTAGGTTTAACACACGGTAGGTTTAACACACGGTGGGTTGAACACACGGTAGGTTTAACACACGGTGGGTTGAACACACGGTGGGTTGAAAACACGGTGGGTTTAACACACGATGGGTTTAACACACGGCGGGTTGAACACACGGTAGATTTAACACACGGTAGGTTTAACACATGGTAGGTTTAACACACGGTAGGTTTAACACACGGTAGGTTTAACACACGGTGGGTTTAACACACGGTGGGTTTAACACACGGTGGGTTTAACACACGGTGGGTTTAACACGCGGTGGGTTTAACACACGGTGGGTTGAACGCACGGTGGGTTCAACACACGGTGGGTTGAACGCACGGTGGGTTTAACACACGGTGGGTTGAACGCACGGTGGGTTTAACACACGGTGGGTTGAACGCACGGTAGGTTTAACACACGGTAGGTTTAACACACGGTAGGTTTAACACACGGTAGGTTTAACACACGGTGGGTTGAACACACGGTAGGTTTAACACACGGTAGGTTTAACACACGGTAGGTTTAACACACGGTGGGTTGAACACACGGTAGGTTTAACACACGGTGGGATTAACACACGATGGGTTTATCACGCGGTGGGTTTAACACACGGTGGGTTTAACACGCAGTGGGTTTAACACACGGTGGGTTGAACGCACGGTGGGTTTAGCACACGGTGGGTTGAACGCACGGTGGGTTTAACACACGGTGGGTTGAACACACGGTAGGTTTAACACACGGTAGGTTTAACACACGGTAGGTTTAACACACGGTAGGTTTAACACACGGTGGGTTGAACACACGGTAGGTTTAACACACGGTGGGTTGAACACACGGTGGGTTGAAAACACGGTGGGTTTAACACACGATGGGTTTAACACACGGCGGGTTGAACACACGGTAGATTTAACACACGGTAGGTTTAACACATGGTAGGTTTAACACACGGTAGGTTTAACACACGGTAGGTTTAACACACGGTGGGTTTAACACACGGTGGGTTTAACACACGGTGGGTTTAACACACGGTGGGTTTAACACGCGGTGGGTTTAACACACGGTGGGTTGAACGCACGGTGGGTTCAACACACGGTGGGTTGAACGCACGGTGGGTTTAACACACGGTGGGTTGAACGCACGGTGGGTTTAACACACGGTGGGTTGAACGCACGGTAGGTTTAACACACGGTAGGTTTAACACACGGTAGGTTTAACACACGGTAGGTTTAACACACGGTGGGTTGAACACACGGTGGGTTGAAAACACGGTGGGTTTAACACACGGTGGGTTTAACACACGGTGGGTTGAACACACGGTAGGTTTAACACACGGTAGGTTTAACACACGGTAGGTTTAACACACGGTAGGTTTAACACACGGTGGGTTGAACACACGGTAGGTTTAACACACGGTGGGTTTAACACACGGTGGGTTTAACACACGGTGGGTTTAACACACGGTGGGTTTAACACGCGGTGGGTTTAACACACGGTGGGTTGAACGCACGGTGGGTTTAACACACGGTGGGTTGAACGCACGGTGGGTTTAACACACGGTGGGTTGAACACACGGTAGGTTTAACACACGGTGGGTTGAACACACGGTGGGTTGAACGCACGGTGGGTTTAACACACGGTTGGTTGAACGCACGGTGGGTTTAACACACGGTGGGTTGAACACACGGTTGGTTTAACACACGGTGGGTTGAACACACGGTGGGTTGAACACACGGTGGGTTTAACACACGGTGGGTTTAACACACGGTGGGTTGAACACACGGTGGGTTGAACACACGGTGGGTTGAACACACGGTAGGTTTAACACACGGTGGGTTGAACGCACGGTGGGTTTAACACACGGTGGGTTGAACGCACGGTGGGTTTAACACACGGTGGGTTGAACACACGGTAGGTTTAACACACGGTAGGTTTAACACACGGTAGGTTAAACACACGGTAGGTTTAACACACGGTGGGTTGAACACACGGTTGGTTTAACACACGGTGGGTTGAACACACGGTGGGTTGAACACACGGTGGGTTGAACACACGGTGGGTTGAACACACGGTAGGTTTAACACATGGCGGGTTGAACACACTTGAAGACACAGTAGGTTTAACACACGGTGGGTTGAACACACGGTGGGTTGAACACACGGTGGGTTGAACACACGTAGGTTTAACACACGGTGGGTTGAACACACGGTGGGTTGAACACACGGTGGGTTTAACACACGGTGGGTTTAACACACGGTGGGTTGAACACACGGTAGGTTTAACACACGGTAGGTTTAACACACGGTAGGTTTAACACACGGTAGGTTTAACACACGGTAGGTTTAACACACGGTAGGTTTAACACACGGTGGTTTGAACACACGGTGGGTTGAAAACACGGTGGGTTTAACACACGTTGGGTTTAACACACAGTGGGTTAAACACACGGTCGGTTTAACACACGGTAGGTTTAACATACGGTAGGTTTAACACACGGTAGGTTTAACACACGGTGGGTTGAACACACGGTAGGTTTAACACACGGTGGGTTTAACACACGGTGGGTTTAACACGCGGTGGGTTTAACACACGGTGGGTTGAACGCACGGTGGGTTTAACGCACGGTGGGTTGAACGCACGGTGGGTTTAACACACGGGGGGTTGAACACACGGTAGGTTTAACACACGGTAGGTTAAACACACGGTAGGTTTAACACACGGTAGGTTTAACACACGGTGGGTTGAACACATGGTAGGTTTAACACACGGTGGGCTGAACACACGGTGGGTTGAAGACATGGTGGGTTTAACACACGGTGGGTTTAACACACGGTGGGTTGAACACACGGTAGGTTTAACACACGGTTGGTTTAACACACGGTAGGTTTAACACACGGTAGGTTTAACACACGGTAGGTTTAACACACGGTGGGTTTAACACACGGTAGGTTTAACACACGGTGGGTTTAACACACGGTGGGTTTAACACGCGGTGGGTTTAACACACGGTGGGTTGAACGCACGGTGGGTTTAACACACGGTGGGTTGAACGCACGGTGGGTTTAACACACGGTGGGTTGAACGCAAGGTGGGTTTAACACACGGTGGGTTGAACGCACGGTAGGTTTAACACACCGTAGGTTTAACACACGGTAGGTTTAACACACGGTGGGTTGAACGCACGGTGGGTTTAACACACGGTGGGTAGAACGCACGGTAGGTTTAACACACGGTAGGTTTAACACACGGTGGGTTGAACACACGGTGGGTTGAAAACACGGTGGGTTTAACACACGGTGGGTTTAACACACGGTGGGTTGAACACACGGTATGTTTAACACACAGTAGGTTTAACACACGGTAGGTTTAACACACGGTAGGTTTAACACACGGTGGGTTTAACACACGGTAGGTTTAACACACGGTGGGTTTAACACGCGGTGGGTTTAACACACGGTGGGTTGAACGCACGGTGGGTTTAACACACGGTGGGTTGAACGCACGGTGGGTTTAACACACGGTGGGTTGAACGCACGGTAGGTTTAACACACGGTAGGTTTAACACACGGTAGGTTTAACACACGGTAGGTTTAACACACAGTGGGTTGAACACACTGTGGGTTGAAAACACGGTGGGTTTAACACACGGTGGGTTTAACACACGGTGGGTTGAACACACGGTAGGTTTAACACACGGTAGGTTTAACACACGGTAGGTTTAACACACGGTAGGTTTAACACACGGTGGGTTGAACACACGGTAGGTTTAACACACGGTGGGTTTAACACACGGTGGGTTTAACACACGGTGGGATTAACACGCAGTGGGTTCAACACACAGTGGGTTGAACGCACGGTGGGTTTAACACACGGTGGGTTGAACGCACGGTGGGTTTAACACACGGTGGGTTGAACACACGGTAGGTTTAACACACGGTAGGTTTAACACACGGTAGGTTTAACACACGGTGGGTTGAACACACGGTTGGTTTAACATACGGTGGGTTGAACACACGGTGGGTTGAACACACGGTGGGTTGAACACACGGTGGGTTGAACACACGGTGGGTTGAACACACGGTAGGTTTAACACACGGCGGGTTGAACACACGGTGTGTTGAACACACGGTGGGTTGAACACACGGTGGGTTGAACACACGGTGGGTTGAACACACGGTGGGTTGAACACACTTGAACACACGGTAGGTTTAACACACGGTGGGTTGAACACACGGTGGGTTGAACACACGGTGGGTTGAACACACGTAGGTTTAACACACGGTGGGTTGAACACACGGTGGGTTGAACACACGGTGGGTTGAACACACGGTAGGTTTAACACACGGTGGGTTGAACACACGGTGGGTTGAACACACGGTGGGTTGAACACACGGTGGGTTGAACACACGGTGTGTTGAACACATGGTGGGTTGAACAAACGGTGGGTTTAACACTTGGTGGGTTGAACACATGGTGGGTTGAACACACGGTGGGTTGAAAACACTGTGGGTTGAACACACGGTGGGTTTAACACACGGTGGGTTTAACACACGGTGGGTTGAACACACGGTGGGTTGAACACACGGTGGGTTTAACACACGGAGGGTTGAACACACGGTGGGTTGAACACACGGTGGGTTGAACACACGGTGGGTTGAACACACGGTAGGTTTAACACACGGTGGGTTTAACACACGGTGGGTTTAACACACGGTGGGTTTAACACACGGTGGGTTTAACACACGGTGGGTTTAACACACGGTGTGTTGAACACAAGATGGGTTGAACACACGGTGTGTTGAACACACGGTGTGTTGAACACACGGTGTGTTGAACACACGGTGTGTTGAACACACGGTGGGTTGAACACACGGTGGGTTGAACACACGGTGGGTTGAACACACGGTGTGTTGAACACACGGAGGGTTTAACACACGGTTGGTTGAACACACAGTGGGTTGAACAAACGGTGTGTTGAACACACAGTGGGTTGAATACACGGTGGGTTTAACCCACGGTGGGTTGAACACACGGTGGGTTGAACGCACAGTGGGTTGAACACACGGTAGGTTTAACACACGGTGGGTTGAACACACAATGGGTTGAACACACGGTGGGTTGAACACACGTAGGTTTAACACACGGTGGGTTGAACACACGGTGGGTTGAACACACGGTGGGTTGAACACACGGTAGGTTTAACACACGGTGAGTTGAACACACGGTGGGTTGAACACACGGTGGGTTGAAGACACGGTGGGTTGAACACACGGTGTGTTGAACACACGGTGTGTTGAACACACGGTGTGTTGAACACACGGTAGGTTTAACACACGGTGGGTTGAACACACGGTGGGTTGAACACACGGTGTGTTGAACACACGGAGGGTTTAACACACGGTGGGTTGAACACACGGTGGGTTGAACACACGGTGGGTTGAACCTACCGGTCCACGTCCACGACCACGTCCACGTCCACGACCATGTCCGCGTCCACGTCCTCGTCCACGTGCACGTCCACGTCCTCGTCCTCGTCCACGTCCACGACCATGTCCGCGTCCACGTCCACGTCGACGTCCGCGTCCACGTCCACCACGTCCACGTCCACGTCCACGTCCACGACGTCCACGTCCGCGACGTCCACGTCCGCGTCCACCACGTCCACGTCCGCGTCCACATCCACGTCCGCGACCACGTCCACGTCCACGTGCACGACGTCCATGTCCACGTGCACGACGTCCACGTCCGCGTCCACGACGTCCACGTCCGCGTCCACGTCCACGTCCGCGTCCACGTCCACGTCCACGTCCACGACCACCACCGCGTCAACGTCCACGACCACCACCGCGTCAACGTCCACGACCACGTCCACGTCCACGTCCACGTCCACGTCCACGACCACCACCGCGTCAACGTCCACCACCGCGTCAACGTCCACGTCCACGTCCACGACCACGTTCACGTCCACGACCACCACCGCGTCCACGTCCACGTCCACGTCCGCGTCCGCGTCCGCTCCACGTCTGTGTCCACGTCGACGTCCGCGTCCGCGTCGACGTCCGCGACCGCGTCCACGTCCGCGTCCACGACCGCGTCTGCGTCCTCGTCCGCGTCCGCGTCCACGACCGCGTCCGCGTCCGCGTCCACGACCGCGTCCGCGTCCACGACCGCGTCCTCGTCCGCGTCCGCGTCCACGACCGCGTCCACGTCCGCGTCCTCGTCCGCGTCCGCGTCCGCGTCACGACCACGTCCACGTCCACGTCCGCCACGTCCGCGTCCACGTCCGCCACGTCCGCGTCCACGTCCGCCACGTCCGCGTCCACGTCCACGTCCGCGTCCTCGTCCACGCGTCCACGTCCACGACCACGCGTCCACGTCCACGACCGCGTCCACGTCCGCGTCCGCGACCGCGTCCGCGTCCGCGTCCGCGACCGCGACCGCGTCCGCGACCGCGTCCACGTCCTCGTCCACGACCCCGTCCACGACCGCGTCCACGTCCGCGTCCGCGACCGCGTCCACGTCCACGTCCACGTCCACGACCACGTCCAGGTCCACGACCACGTCCACGTCCACCACCACGTCCACGTCCACGTCCACGGCCACGTTCACGCCCACGTCCACGTCCACGTCCACGTCCACCACCACGTCCACGTCCACGACCACCACGACCGCGCCCACGTCCACGCCCACGTCCGCGTCCACGACCGCGTCCGTCCGCGTCCACGTCGGCGTCCACGTCCACGACCACGTCCGCGTCCGCGTCCGCGTCCGCGTCCGCGTCCGCGTCCGCGTCCACGACCACGTCCGCGTCCTCGTCCACGTCGGCGTCCGCGTCCACGACCACGTCCACGACCGCGTCCACGACCACGTCCACGACCACGTCCTCCACGTCCTCGTCCACGTCCACGTCCACCACGTCCACGTCCACCACGTCCGCGTCCACGTCCACGTCCGCGTCCACGTCCACGTCCACCACGTCCACGTCCACGTCCGCGACCGCGTCCGCGTCCGCGACCGCGTCCCCGACCGCGTCCGCAACCGCGTCCGCGTCCGCGACCGCGTCCGCGTCCGCGACCGCGTCCACGACCGCGTCCACCTCCACGTCCAGGTCCACCACGACCGCGTCCACGTCGTCCACGTCCACGTCCCGTCCACGTCCACGTCCGCGACCGCGTCCGCGTCCGCGTCCGCGTCTACGTCCACGACCACGTCCACGTCCGGGTCCCGTCCGGGTCCACGTCCGCGTCCACGTCCGCGTCCACGTCCGCGTCCACGTCCGCGTCCACGACCGCGTCCGCAACCGCGTCCGCGACCGCGTCCGCGACCGGGTCCACGTCCGGGTCCACGTCCGGGTCCACGTCCGCGTCCACGTCCGCGTCCACGTCCGCGACCACGTCCGCGACCACGTCCGCGACCACGTCCGCGTCCACGTCCGCGTCCGCGACCACGTCCGCGACCACGTCTGCGACCACGTCCACGTCCACGACCGCGTCCACGACCACGACCGCGTCCGTCCACGTCCACGCCCACGTCCACGCCTACGTCCACGTCCGCGTCCAAGTCCACCACCACGTCCACGTCCACCACGACCGCGTCCACGTCCAAGCCCACGTCCACGACCACGTCCACGTCCACGTCCACGTCCACGTCTACGTCCACGACCGCGTCGCGTCCGCGTCCACGACCGCGTCCACGTCCACGTCCACGTCCACGTCCACGTCCACGTCCGCGACCACGTCCACGTCCACGACCACGTCCACGACCACGTCCGTCCGCGTCCACGTCCACGTCCGCGTCCGCGACCACGTCCACGTCCACGACCACGTCCACGACCACGTCCGTCCGCGTCCACGTCCACGTCCGCGTCCGCGTCCACGTCCACGACCACGTCGACGTCCACGTCCGCGTCCACGTCCACCGCGTCCTCGTTTGCGTCCTCCACGACCGCGTCCGCGTCCGCGTCCTCCACGTCCGCGTCCGCGTCCGCGTCCACGACCGCGTCCTCCACGTCCGCGTCCGCGTCCACGACCGCGTCCACCACGTCCGCGTCGGCGTCCACGACCGCGTCCTCCACGTCCGCGTCCGCGTCCACGACCGCGTCCTCCACGTCCGCGTCGGCGTCCACGACCGCGTCCTCCACGTCCGCGTCGGCGTCCACGACCGCGTCCTCCACGTCCGCGTCGGCGTCCACGACCGCGTCCTCCACGTCCGCGTCGGCGTCCACGACCGCGTCCTCCACGTCCGCGTCGGCGTCCACGACCGCGTCCTCCACGTCCGCGTCCGCGTCCACGACCGCGTCCTCCACGTCCGCGTCGGCGTCCACGTCCGCGTCCTCCACGTCCGCGTCGGCGTCCACGTCCGCGTCCGCGTCCGCCTATCCTTTCTGCTTCGTTTGTGTTGACTGTCGCAGGTGTTACGTAACCGTTGTCGGCGAAGTGGTAGAAGACTTCGGCGTTGACACTGTCGCGAGGATTTTTCTTCGTCCATGGGCATGTCGACGGAGCAGAACGGGAGAGGTCCGCGTCCGCGTCCGCGTCCACGTCCACGTCCACGACGTCCACGTCCACGTCCACGTCCACGATCAGGTCCGCGTCCACGTCCACGTCCACGATCAGGTCCGCGTCCACGTCCACGTCCTCGTCCACGACCACGTCCGCATCTACGTCCACGTCCACGTCCACCACGTCCACGTCCACGACGACGTCCACGTCCACGTCCACGACGTCCACGTCCGCGTCCACGACGTCCACGTCCTCGTCCACGTCCACGTCCACGTCCGCAACCACGTCCACGTCCACGTGCACGTCCACGACCACGTCCACGTCCACGACCACCACCGCGTCCACGTCCACGACCACGTCCACGTCCACGTCCACGTCCACGACCACGTCCACGTCCACGACCACCACCGCGTCCACGTCCACGTCCACGTCCACGTCCGCGTCCGCGTCCGCCACGTCCCCGTCCGCATCCGCGTCCGCGTCCGCGTCCGCGTCCACGTCCGCGTCCGCGTCCACGACCGCGTCCGCGTCCGCGTCCTCGTCCGCGTCCTCGTCCGCGTCCCCGTCCGCGTCCGCGTCCGCGTCACGACCACGTCCGCGTCCACGTCCGCCACATCCGCGTCCACGTCCGCAACGTCCGCGTCCGCGTCCACGTCCACGCGTCCACGTCCACGACCACACGTCCACGTCCACGACCGCGTCCACGTCCGCGTCCACGACCGCGTCCACGACCGCGTCCGCGTCCACGACCCCGTCCACGACCGCGTCCACGTCCGCGTCCGCGACCGCTTCCACGTCCGCGTCCACGACCACGTCCACGTCCGCGTCCACGTCCACGCCCACGTCCACGTCCACGTCCACGCCCACGTCCACGTCCACGTCCACCACCACGTCCACGTCCACGACCACCACGACCGCGCCCACGTCCACGCCCACGTCCACGTCCACGTCCACGACCGCGTCCGTCCACGTCCCCGCCCACGTCCGCGTCCACGACCACGTCCGCGTCCGCGTCCACGTCCACGTCCGCGTCCGCGTCCACGACCACGTCCGCGACCTCGTCCACGTCCACGACCGCGTCCACGTCCACGTCCACGCCCGCGACCTCGTCCACGTCCACGTCCACCACGTCCACGTCCACGTCCGCGTCCGCGTCCACGTCCACGACCACGTCCACGACCACGTCCACGACCGCGTCCACCTCCACGTCCACGTCCACGACCACGTCCACGACCACGTCCACCACGTCCACGTCCACGTCGTCCACGTCCCGTCCACGTCCGCGTCCACGACCGCGTCCGCGTCCGCGTCCACGTCTACGTCCACGACCACGTCCACGTCCAGGTCCACGTCCGGGTCCACGTCCGGGTCCACGTCCGCGTCCACGTCCGCGTCCACGTCCGCGTCCACATCCGCGTCCACGTCCGCGTCCACGACCGCGTCCGCGTCCTCGACCGCGTCCGCGTCCGCGACCACGACCGCGTCCACGTCCGCGTCCACGACCGCGTCCACGTCCGCGTCCGCGACCGCGTCCGCGACCACGTCCACGCCCACGTCCGCGACCACGTCCGCGTCCACGACCACGTCCACGTCCACGTCCACGTCCACGTCCTCGACCGCGTCCTCGTCCACGTCCACGTCCGCGTCCACGTCCACGTCCACGTCCACGTCCACGACCGCGTCCGTCCACGTCCACGCCCACGTCCACGCCTACGTCCACGTCCGCGTCCACGCCCACCACCACGTCCACGACCACCACGACCGCGTCCACGTCCACGCCCGCGTCCATGTCCACGACCGCGTCCGTCCACGTCCACGCCCACGTCCACGACCACGTCCACGTCCGCGTCCACGTCCACCACCGCGTCCACGACCACCACGACTGCGTCCACGTCCACGCCCGCATCCATGTCCACGACCGCGTCTGTCCACGTCCACGCCCACGTCCACGACCACGTCCACGTCCGCGTCCACACCCACGTCTACGTCCAGGACCACGTCCACGTCCGCGTCCATGCCCATGTCCGCGTCCACGTCCGCGTCCATGCCCATGTCCGCGTCCACGTCCACGTCCACGATCGCGTCGACGTCCACGTCCACGTCCACCATGTCCACGTCCACGTCCACCACGTCTACGTCCACGTCCGCGTCCTCCACGTCCACGCCCACGTCCACGTCCATGTCCACGTCCCCGACCACGTCCACGTCCATGTTCACGTCCCCGACCACGTCCACGTCCAGGTCCCCGTCCACGTCCACGTCCACGTCCACGTCCCCGTCCACGTCCGCGTCCACGACCACGTCCACGTCCACGACCGCGTCCCCGTCCACGTCCACGTCCACGTCCACGACCGCGTCGAAGTCCGCGTCCACGTCCACGACCGCGTCGAAGTCCGCGTCCACGTCCACGACCGCGTCGACGACCGCGTCCACGTCCACGACCGCGTCCGCGTCGAAGTCCGCGTCCACGTCCACGACCGCGTCGACGACCGCGTCCACGTCCACGACCGCGTCCGCGTCCGCGTCCACGTCCACGACCGCGTCCGCAACCGCGTCCACGTCCACGACCGCGTCCGCGACCGCGTCCACGTCCACGACCGCGTCCACGTCCACGACCGCGTCCGCGTCCACGTCCACGACCGCGTCCACGACCGCGTCCACGTCCACGTCCACGTCCACGTCCACGTCCAGGTCCACCACGTCCACGTCCACGTCCACGACCACGTCCACGTCCGCGTCCGCGACCACGTCCACGTCCGCGTCCGCGTCCACGTCCACCACCCCGTCCACGTCCACGTCCATGACCACCACGACCGGATCCATGTCCACGCCCACGTCCACGTCCACGACCGCGTCCGTCCACGTCCACGCCCACGTCCACGTCCACGACCACGTCCGCGTCCACGTCCACGTCCACGTCCACGTCCGCGTCCACGTCCACGTCCACGTCCGCGTCCGCGTCCACGACCACGTCCATGATCGCGTCCACGTCCACGTCCACGTCCACGACCACGTGCTCCACGTCCTCGTCCGCGTCCACGACCACGTCCTCCACGTCCACGTCCGCGTCCGCGTCCACGTCCGCGTCCGCGACCGGGTCCGCGTCCACGTCCACCACGTCCACGTCCGCGTCCACGTCCGCGTCCACGTCCGCGTCCACGACGTCCACGTCCACGTCCGCATCCACGTCCACGACCATGTCCGCGTTCACGTCCACGTCCTCGTCCACGTCCACGTCCGCATCAACGTCCACGTCCACGTCCACCACGTCCACGTCCACGTCCACCACGTCCACGTCCACCACCACGTCCACGTCCACCGCGTCCGCGTCCACGTCCGCGTCCGCTCCACGTCCGCGTCCGCGTCCGCGTCGACGTCCGCGACCGCGTCCGCGTCGACGTCCGCGAACGCGTCCACGTCCGCGTCCACGACCGCGTCCGCGTCCACGTCCGCGTCCGCGTCCACGACCGCGTCCACGTCCGCGTCCTCTTCCGCGTCCTCGTCCGCGTCCACGTCCGCGTCCGCGTCCGCGTCCACGTCCGCCACGTCCGCGTCCACGTCCGCCACGTCCGCGTCCACGTCCGCAACGTCCGCGTCCGCGTCCACGTCCACGCGTCCACGTCCACGACCACACGTCCACGTCCACGACCGCGTCCACGTCCGCGTCCACGACCGCGTCCACGACCGCGTCCGCGTCCACGACCCCGTCCACGACCGCGTCCACGTCCGCGTCCGCGACCGCTTCCACGTCCGCGTCCACGACCACGACCACGTCCACGTCCACGTCGGCGCCCACGTCCACGTCCACGTCCACGCCCACGTCCACGTCCACGTCCACGTCCACCACCACGTCCACGTCCACGACCACCACGACCGCGCCCACGTCCACGCCCACGTCCACGTCCACGTCCACGACCGCGTCCGTCCACGTCCCCGCCCACGTCCGCGTCCACGACCACGTCCGCGTCCGCGTCCACGTCCACGTCCGCGTCCGCGTCCACGACCACGTCCGCGACCTCGTCCACGTCCACGTCCGCGTCCGCGTCCACGTCCACGCCCGCGACCTCGTCCACGTCCACGTCCGCGTCCGCGTCCACGTCCACGCCCGCGACCTCGTCCACGTCCACGCCCGCGACCTCGTCCACGTCCACGTCCACGTCCACGTCCACCACGTCCACGTCCACGTCCGCGTCCGCGTCCACGTCCACGTCCACGACCACGTCCACGACCGCGTCCACCTCCACGTCCAGGTCCACCACGTCCACGTCCACGTCGTCCACGTCCACGTCCCGTCCACGTCCGCGTCCACGACCGCGTCCGCGTCCACGTCGACGTCCACGACCACGTCCAGGTCCAGGTCCACGTCCGGGTCCACGTCCGGGTCCACGTCCGCGTCCACGTCCGCGTCCACGTCCGCGTCCACGACCGCGTCCGCGTCCGCGTCCACGACCGCGTCCGCGTCCACGACCGCGTCCGCGTCCACGACCTCGTCCGCGACCACGTCCGCGACCACGTCCGCGTCCGCGACCGCGTCCGCGACCACGTCCGCGACCGCGACCGCCTCCGCGACCACGTCCACGCCCACGTCCGCGACCACGTCCGCGTCCACGACCACGTCCACGACCACGTCCACGTCCACGTCCACGTCCTCGACCGCGTCCTCGTCCACGTCCACGTCCGCGTCCACGTCCACGTCCACGTCCACGACCGCGTCCGTCCACGTCCACGCCCACGTCCACGCCTACGTCCACGTCCGCGTCCACGCCCACCACCACGTCCACGACCACCACGATCGCGTCCACGTCCACGCCCGCGTCCATGTCCACGACCGCGTCCGTCCACGTCCACGCCCACGTCCACGACCACGTCCACGTCCGCGTCCACGTCCACCACCACGTCCACGACCACCACGACCGCGTCCACGTCCACGCCCGCATCCATGTCCACGACCGCGTCCGTCCACGTCCACGCCCACGTCCACGACCACGTCCACGTCCGCGTCCACACCCACGTCTACGTCCACGACCACGTCCACGTCCGCGTCCATGCCCATGTCCGCGTCCACGTCCGCGTCCATGCCCATGTCCGCGTCCACGTCCACGTCCACGATCGCGTCGACGTCCACGTCCACCACGTCCACGTCCACGTCCACCACGTCTACGTCCACGTCCGCGTCCTCCACGTCCACGCCCACGTCCACGTCCATGTCCACGTCCCCGACCACGTCCACGTCCATGTTCACGTCCCCGACCACGTCCACGTCCAGGTCCCCGTCCACGTCCACGTCCGCGTCCACGTCCACGTCCCCGTCCACGTCCACGTCCACGACCACGTCCACGTCCACGTCCACGACCGCGTCCGCGTCCGCGTCCACGTCCACGACCGCGTCCGCGTCCGCGTCCACGTCCACGACCGCGTCCGCGTCCGCGTCCACGTCCACGACCGCGTCCGCGTCCGCGTCCACGTCCACGACCGCGTCCGCGTCCGCGTCCACGTCCACGACCGCGTCCACGACCACGTCCGCCGTCCCCGTCCGCGTCCACGACCGCGTCCCCGTCCACATCCGCGTCCACGACCGCGTCCACGTCCACGACCGCGTCCCTGTCCACGTCCACGTCCACGACCGCGTCCCCGTCCACGTCCACGTCCACGTCCACGACCGCGTCGACGACCGCGTCCACGTCCACGACCGCGTCCGCGTCCGCGTCCACGTCCACGACCGCGTCCGCGTCCGCGTCCACGTCCGCGTCCGCGTCCGCGTCCACGTCCACGACCGCGTCCACGACCGCGTCCACGTCCACGTCCAGGTCCACCACGTCCACGTCCACGTCGTCCACGTCCACGACCACGTCCACGTCCACGTCCGCGTCCACGTCGAGGTCCACGTCCACGTCCACGTCCACCACCCCGTCCACGTCCACGTCCATGACCACCACGACCGGATCCATGTCCACGCCCACGTCCACGTCCACGACCGCGTCCGTCCACCTCCACGCCCACGTCCACGTCCACGACCACGTCCGCGTCCACGTCCACGTCCGCGACCACGTCCACGTCTACGTCCGCGTCCGCGTCCACGACCACGTCCATGATCGCGTCCACGTCCACGTCCACGTCCACGACCACGTGCTCCACGTCCTCGTCCGCGACCACGACCACGTCCTCCACGTCCACGTCCGCATCCGCGTCCACGTCCGCGTCCGCGACCGGGTCCTCGTCCACGTCCACCACGTCCACGTCCACGTCCGCGTCCACGTCCGCGTCCACGACGTCCACGTCCACGTCCGCATCCACGTCCACGACCATGTCGCGTTCACGTCCACGTCCTCGTCCACGTCCACGTCCGCATCAACGTCCACGTCCACGTCCACCACGTCCACGTCCACGTCCGCGTCCACGTCCGCGTCCACGACGTCCACGTCCACGTCCGCATCCACGTCCACGACCATGTCCGCGTTCACGTCCACGTCCTCGTCCACGTCCACGTCCGCATCAACGTCCACGTCCACGTCCACCACGTCCACGTCCACGTCCACCACGTCCACGTCCACCACCACGTCCACGTCCACGCCCACGTCCACGTCCACGACCGCGTCCGTCCACGCCCGCGCCCGCGTCCACGACCGCGTCCGTCCACGTCCGCGCCCGCGTCCGCGTCCGCGACCGTCCACGTCCGCGCCCGCGTCCGCGTCCACGACCACGTCCGCGTCCGCGTCCGCGTCCGCGTCCGCGTCCACGACCACGTCCGCGTCCGCGTCCGCGTCCGCGTCCCCGTCCCCGACCACGTCCGCGTCCGCGTCCCCGTCCCCGTCCACGTCCACGTCCACGTCCGCGTCCACGTCCACTGCGTCCACGTCCACGACCACGTCCTCGACGTCCACGTCCACCACGTCCACGTCCACGACGTCCACGTCCGCGACCACGTCCGCGTCCGCGTCCGCGTCCGCGTCCACGACCGCGTCCACGACCGCGTCCACGTCCAGGTCCACGTCCACGTCCACGTCCACGTCCGTATCCACGTCCACGACCGCGTCCACGTCCGCGTCCACGTCCACGACCGCGTCCAAGTCCGCGTCCACGTCCACGACCGCGACCACGACCGCGTCCACCTCCACGTCCAGGTCCACCACGTCCATGTCCACGTCGTCCATGTCCACGTCCCGTCCACGACCACGTCCACGACCGCGTCCGCGTCCGCGTCCACGTCCACGTCCGCGTCCACGTCCAGGTCCACGTCCGGGTCCACGTCCGCGTCCACGTCCGCGTCCACGTCCGCGTCCACGTCCGCGTCCACGTCCGCGTCCACGTCCGCGTCCCCGTCCGCGTCCACGACCGCGTCCGCGACCGCGTCCACGACCGCGTCCGCGACCGCGTCCACGTCCGGGTCCACGTCCGCGTCCACGTCCGCGTCCACTTCCGCGACCACGTCCGCGTCCACGTCCGCGACCGCGTCCGCGTCCGCGACCGCGACCACGTCCGCGTCCGCGACCGCGACCACGTCCACGACCGCATCCACGTCCACGACCACGTCCACGACCACGTCCACGTCCACGTCCACGACCACGTCCTCGTCCACGTCCACGTCCGCGTCCACGTCCGCGTCCGCGTCCACGTCCACGTCCACGACTGCGTCCGTCCACGTCCACGCCCACGTCCACGCCTACGTCCACGTCCACGTCCACGTCCACGTCCACGTCCACCACCACGTCCACGACCACCACGACCGCGTCCACGTCCACGCCCGCGTCCACGTCCACGCCCGCGTCCACGTCCACGACCGCGTCCTCGTCCACGTCCACGTCCGCGTCCACGTCCGCGTCCACGTCCACGTCCACGTCCACGACCGCGTCCGTCCACGTCCACGCCCACGTCCACGCCTACGTCCACGTCCACGTCCACCACCACGTCCACGACCACCACGACCGCGCCCACGTCCACGCCCGCGTCCACGTCCACGACCGCGTCCGTCCACGTCGACGCCCACGTCCACGACCACGTCCACGTCCGCGTCCACGCCCACGTCCGATTCCACGACCACGTCCATGTCCGCGTCCACGCCCACGTCCGCGTCCACGTCCACGTCCACGACCGCGTCGACCTCCACGTCGACGTCCGCACGTCCACGTCCACCACGTCCACGTCCGCGTCCACGTCCACCACGTCCACGTCCGCGTCCACGTCCACGTCCGCACGTCCGCGTCCGCGTCCACGTCCACGTCCTCCACGTCCACGCCCACGTCCAGGTCCACGTCCACGTCCCCGACCACGTCCACGTCCAGGTCCACGTCCACGTCCAGGTCCACGTCCACGTCCCCGTCCACGTCCACGTCCACGACCACGTCCACGTCCACGTCCACGACCGTGTCCCCGTCCACGTCCACGTCCACGAACGCGTCCAAGTCCGCGTCCACGTCCACGACCGCGTCCACGACCGCGTCCACGTCCGCGACCGCGTCTAAGTCCGCGTCCACGTCCACGTCCAAGACCGTGTCCAAGTCCGCGTCCAAGTCCGCGACCGCGTCCACGTCCACGACCGCGTCCACGTCCACAACCGCGTCCACGTCCACGTCCAGGTCCACAACATCCACGTCCACGTCGTCCACGTCCACGTCCACGTCCACGTCCGCGTCCACGTCCAGGTCCACGTCCACGTCCACGTCCAGGTCCACGTCCACGTCCACGACCGCGACCACGTCCACGTCCACGTCCGCGTCCGCGACCACGTCCGCGTCCGCGACCACATCCACGACCGCGTCCGCGTCCACGTCCGCGACCGCGACCGCGTCCGCGTCCGCGTCCGCGTCCAAGTCCACGCGTCCCCGTCCGCGTCCGCGTCCGCGACCGCGTCCACGTCCACGTCCACGACCACGACCACGTCCACGTTCACCACATCCACGTCCACGTCCACCACGTCCACGACCACGTCCATGTTCACCACGTCCACGTTCACCACGTCCACGTCCACTTCCACCACGTCTATGTCCACCACGTCCACGTCCACGTCCACGTCCACGTCCACGTCTACGTCGACCCGGCGGAACAAAATTGCTCGGAACAAGCGCTTCTAGTCCCATAATGCGGAAGGATACGCACATGTGCAAGAAGTGCAGCGGGCACTCTCCATTCGCGATCGCCGATGATCGATGATGCTCGCAACCCTCCCACGCCCTTGCAGGCTTGGTAAAAGGACCAGATTAGCGCAGCCACGTGACCTAGTGGAAGAAAAACGCTCGGAACGAACGCTTCCAGGCTCAAAATACGGAAGGATACGCACATGTGCAGAAGTGCAGCGGGCGCTCTCCATTCGCAAGCGCCGATGACCGATGATGCTCGCAACCCTCCCATGCCCTTGCTGGCTTGGTAATAGGACCAGACAAGCGCAGCCGCGTGACCCGGCGGAAGAAAATTGCTCGGAACGAGCGATTCCAGCCTCAAAATGCGGAAGGATACGTACATGTGCAGGAAGTGCAGCGGGCGCTCTCCATTCGCGATCGTCGATGACTGATGATGCTTGCAACCCTCCCATACCCTTGCTGGCTTGGTAATAGGACCAAAGAAGTGCAACCACGTGACCCGGCGGAAGAAAAACTCGCGGAGCGAGCGCTTCCAGCCTCAAAATGCGGAAGGATACGCACATGTGCAGGAAGTGCAGCGGGCACTCTCCATTCGCGAGCGCCGGTGACCGATGATGCTCGCAACCCTCCCATGCCCTTGCTGGCTTGGTAATAGGACCAGAGAAGCGCAGCCACGTGACCCGGGGGAAGGAAAACGCTCGGAACGAGTGCTTCCAGCCCTAAAATGCGGAAGCATACGCACATGTGCAGGAAGTGCAGCGGGCGCTCTCTCCATTCGCGATCAGATGACCGATGATGCTCGCAACCCTCCCACGCCATTACTGGCTTGGTAATAGGACCAGACAAGCACAGCAGCGTGACCCGGTGCAAGAAAAACGCTCGGAACGAGCGCTTCCAGCCCCAAAATACAGAAGGATACGCACATGTGTAGGAAGTGCTGCGGGCGCTCTCCATTGGCGATCGCCGATGACCGATGATGCTCGCAACCCTCTCACGCCCTTGCTGGCTTGGTAATAGGACCAGAGAAGCATAGCCACGTGACCCGGCGGAACAAAAACGCCCAGAACAAGCGCATCCAGCCTCAAAATGCGGAAGGATCAGCACATGTGCAGGAAGTGCAGCGGGCGCTCTTCATTCGCGAGCGCCGATGACCGATGATACTCACAACCCTCCCATGCCCTTGCTGGCTTGGTAATAGGACCAGACAAGCACAGCTGCGTGACCCGGCGGAAGAAAAACGCTCGGAACGAGCGCTTCCAGCCCCAAAATACGGAAGGATACGCACATGTGCAGGAAGTGCAGGGCGCTCTCCATTCGCGATCGCCGATGACCGATGATGCTCGCAACCCTCCCATGCCCTTGCTGGCTTGGTAATAGGACCAGACAAGCACAGCTGCGTGACCCGGCGGAAGAAAAACACTCGGAACGAGCGCTTCCAGCCCCAAAATACGGAAGGATGCGCACATGTGCAGGAAGTGCAGGGCGCTCTCCATTCGCGATCGCCGATGACCGATGATGCTCGCAACCTTCCCATGCCCTTGCTGGCTTGGTAATAGGACCAGAGAAGCGCAGTTACGTGACCCGGTGGAAGAAAAACGCTCGGAACGAGTGCTTCCAGCCCTAAAATGCGGAAGGATACACACATGTGCAGGAAGTGCAGCGGGCGCTCTCCATTCGCGATCACCGATGACTGATGATGCTCGCAACCCTCCCATAACCTTGCTGGCTTGGTAATAGGACCAGAGAAGTGCAACCACGTGACCCGGCGGAAGAAAAACTCGCGGAACGAGCGCTTCCAGCCTCAAAATGCGGAAGGATACGCACATGTGTAGGAAGTGCAGCGGGCACTCTCCATTCGCTAGCGCCGGTGACCGATGATGCTCGCAACCCTCGCATGCCCTTGCTGGCTTGGTAATAGGACCAGAGAAGCGCAGCAACGTGACCCGGCGGAAGGAAAACGCTCGGAACGAGTGCTTCCAGCCCCAAAATGCGGAAGCATACGCACATGTGCAGGAAGTGCAGCGGGCGCGCTCTCCATTCGCGATCAGATGACCGATGATGCTCGCAACCCTCCCACGCCATTGCTGGCTTGGTAATAGGACCAGACAAGCGCAGCAGCGTGACGCGGTGCAAGAAAAACTCTCGGAACGAGCGCTTCAAGCCTCAAAATACGGAAGGATACGCACATGTGTAGGAAGTGCAGCGGGCGCTCTCCATTGGAGATCGCCGATAACCGATGATGCTCGCAACCCTCTCACACCCTTGCTGGCTTGGTAATAGGACCAGAGAAGCACAGCCACGTGACCCGGCGGAACAAAAACGCTCACACAAGGGAACACCTGCCACACACCACACACCAACGACCCTCACACACGGTGATAAAAGATTGCAGCTAAGGGGCACATGCAAGATGCAGCAGTTCCAGCAGTTGACAGCTTGAAGCATCCCAGAGGTGGCGCACATGGCGGCACTGAGGTGAGCCCATGGCAGGCGGCACTGAGGTGAGCCCATGGCAAGCGGCACTGAAGTGAGCCCATGGCAGGCGGCACTGAGGTGAGCCCATGACACGCACCTCATGCAGCAGGTTGGTGCCTTCACTCGACACGCACCTCATGCAGCAGGTTGGTGCCTTCACTCGACACGCACCTCATGCAGCAGGTTGGTGCCTTCACTCGACATGTAGAACACACGGCGGATGGTGCGGGCAGAGGAGGTGACGCGTCAGACGACTGCAGAGAGAATGGGGGTAGGAAATGGGAGAGGAAGACAGGCAGCAGGAGGAGCACACGTGAGCACACTCCATCAACCTGGGTGGTGGACGTGTGTGGGTGTGAGAGGGCCGTCGAGGCATGCAGAGGCGGCATTGCAGCAACAAGGCGGTGGGAGCAGTGCAGTGTGACCTTGTCAACGGTGAGCGGCAGGTGGCGTGGGCTGTCCACGACAGCGGGGTGTGAGATGTCGTTCTGCCCGCGGATGATGGTGCAGTCCTGATGCCCATGCCAACACCATGTGGTGCGCCAAGACACCATGTGGTGCGCCAACACACCATGTGGTGCGCCACCACACCATGTGGTGCGCCACCACACCATGTGGTGCGCCACCACACCATGTGGTGCGCCACCACACCATGTGGTGCGCCACCACACCATGTGGTGCGCCAACACACCATGTGGTGCGCCAACACACCATGTGGTGCGCCAACACACCATGTGGTGCGCCAACACACCATGTGGTGCGCCACCACACCATGTGGTGCGCCAACACGCCATGTGGTGCGCCAACACACCATGTGGTGCGCCAACACACCATGTGGTGCGCCAAGACACCATGTGGTGCGCCAACACACCATGTGGTGCGCCAACACACCATGTGGTGCGCCAACACACCATGTGGTGCGCCACCACACCATGTGGTGCGCCACCACACCATGTGGTGCGCCAACACACCATGTGGTGCGCCAACACGCATACGGGAAGGGCGGGTCGCACGCACAAAGACATAGGGGAGGGATATTGGGATTAGATGAAAATTGGGACAGGTCACTGGAGTGAGTGGAAGGAGAAATGGGCCGTATGGTAATCACTGAAAGGGGATGGCCATGCAATGCTAATGCGGGGCCAAAGTGGGTCACACTGCAATGATAGGCAATGGAGGCGGTGAAAGAGCTAGGCAGGGGCTTTTGTCAGTATGGGAGGTGGGATGAGAGGCATGGCTAAAGGGAGGAAGTGGTGTGTGGGGGGGGATGTGGGGGGGGGGGGGGGGGGGGGGGGGGGGGGCTACGTAGAGCTCGGCGCCGAGAGTGAAGCGGTCATTGGTACAGACACAGGGCAGCACGAGGCTGCGCTGCGGGATGTTGGAGACGCGCGAGAAGAGGAAGATGGCGGCGTCCAGCGAGCGGAAGAAGGCGCGCGCGCCTGAGAAGAAGAAGTTGCCCACACTGGTAGTGGAAGTGCAGGAGGCGAACCTGGTAGTGGAAGTGCCAGGAGGCGAACCTGGTAGTGGAAGTGCAGGAGGCGAACCTGGTAGTGGAAGTGCAGGAGGAAGGCGCGGATGATCTCTTTGTATGGATCCGACACGTCCCCCCACAGCTCATGCTCGCCCTCCACTATGCTCAGCCTGCACACCCACCGCACCCACACACACACACCACATGCCCATGGCACGCCCCACTGTGAGTGAGCCGTGCGCACCAGCCCACAGAGAACGGTGGGCGGGTGATGGATGTAGTAAGTGGTTGTGATGGGTGTGGTGTGGTGTGGGCGCGAGGTCACCATTCAGCCTTGGCTTGCGCGGGGTGCAGTGGCAGGCGGTGTCCAAGCAGTCGCCGCACTGCTCTGGCCTCGTGGCTGGACCCGTCGGACAGCCGCAGGCAGCGGGAGCGAATGTCACCGATGGCAGGCCCGCTTGGGGGCAGAGAGAGAGTGGTGCGGGATGAGGGGTGCGGGATGAGGGGTGCGGGATGAGGGGGTCAAAGCGGGTGCGGAGTGAGAGAGGTGGGCGCTGGAGGGAGCATGAGAAGCGTGGTGTGGCAGTGTGGTGTGGCAGCGTGATGTGGCAGCGTGGTGTGGCAACAGTAGAACCACCTTGCAGGGGAGCGGTGAGGCAGAGAGCAGCAGGGTGTGAGTGAGTGGCTGACCTATGACGCGCACAATCACTGCGGTGCTGCCGCCATCATCAGAGACGGGCAGCACGTGCGCCACAGTGGTGGTCCACTCGTGTAGCGCCTCCGCCACTGCGTTGAACGCCGTGCCTCCTGCCGTGCCGCACCATGCACGCACAGGGGCACAAGGCCGGCACCGGCACCACAGAGAGAGAGAGAGGTGCACGTCAGCATGTAGAGCGGCAGGGGTGGCGGCAGGCGACGGGGGCAGGCGAGGCAGCGGGAGCAGCGGGAGGGTACCGGAGAAGACGAGCAGAGATGGCTCCTTGCTCAGGTGGCCCTCCATGGATGCGCATGCATCCGCATGGGCGCTCCTATGACTGCCCATACTCAAGGCCGCGTCTGACCAGGGGCCTGCTGCCCCTAAGGTGGGGGGCTGACCCTAGGGTGGGGGGGGCTGACCCTAGGGTGGGGGGGGCTGACCCTAGGGTGGGGGGGCTGACCCTAGGGTGGGGGGGGCTGACCCTAGGGTAGGGGGGCTGACCCTAGGGTGGGAGGGGCTGGCCCTAGGGTGGGGGGGCTGACCCTAGGGTGGGGGGGCTGACCCTAGGGTGGGGGGGGCTGACCCTAGGGTGGGGGGGGCTGACCCTAGGGTGGGGGGGGCTGACCCTAGGGTGGGGGGGCTGACCCTAGGGTGGGGGGGGCTGACCCTAGGGTAGGGGGGCTGACCCTAGGGTGGGAGGGGCTGGCCCTAGGGTGGGGGGAGCTGACCCTAGGGTGGGGGGGGCTGACCCTAGGGTGGGGGGGCTGACCCTAGGGTGGGGGGGGCTGACCCTAGGGTGGGGGGAGCTGACCCTAGGGTGGGGGGGCTGACCCTAGGGTGGGGGGGGCTGACCCTAGGGTGGGGGGGCTGACCCTAGGGTGGGGGGGGCTGACCCTGGCGTCATGGCGCCCAGCACAGGCAGGTCAGCACACGTGGGTGCGGGCTGTGCGTGCGCGTGTGAGATCGGGACTGCTGTGCCCCGCTCCTCTGCTGCCGCACTGTCTCCTCGCCCTGCTGCCGCCCTCTCCCCCACCCCTGCAGCACAGCCTCGTCCCACGTGCTCGCCCTCACGCACGGTCATGTGTGACGCCGCTGCCTGCCCTCCCTCCTCCGCGCCGCTTCCCCGCACCACCTCCCCCACGCTCACTCCCCTTGCAGCCGTGCCCGCCCGCTTCTCCTCCACCGCTTCTTGCCGCAGAACGATGTTCACGCGTCCTCCACGCATTCTCCCCCTCCCATCTCCCACTCCCGACTTTCCCCGCTTCCCCCGCTCTCCACCACCTTTGATTCCCCCGCTCCGCCTGTCCCCGCCAGCATTGCAGACAACTGCGCTGCTGCGACAGCAACACGGCTGCGCTCGCCGCCGAATCGCCAAGGGTAACGGAGGGTGCGCGCGCACGGAGAAACTTCGACGCAATCGCTCCGGAGGCGGTCGGCAATAGTGTAACAAGTGGGGGCTGCACTAGAGGCAGCGTGAAGCGCACGGGAGGCAAAAGCATGCAGCAGCAGCGTGCAATTGCGAACGTGGGCAGCAAAGGGACGGAAGCGAGCAGGACGTGGGGGACCCACGTGAGAAGGGCGAAACTGAGGTTTCGTGCCTTCACTGGCTTGGGGGGACTACCGCGTGGGACAGGTGGCGAAAGTCCAGACTTGGAGGAATAGAAATGTAACATGTGTGTGGGTGCAGTGAGGTGTACAAACGTGAGTAGAAATATGGAATGCGGCTCGATGTTGGGGCTGGCCACCCGAATCGACATTCCGAGCCGCATGTCTGAATTGTAAATGTACTGCACATATAAAAATGCATTCGTAGGAATTAGAGAGTAGTTGGTGTTTCTCTTTCTGTTTGTTCTTCCTTGCTTCTAAGGAAATTTTCTTGGGGAAGAATTCTCAGCCAGAAACAACTTGAACAAGCCCAAGTGCCGTGAGCTTGTTCCACTTGGTATCAGAGCCTGTTTTTTCCTCGTGAGTTGCTGCCGGGAGATTTTTGCACCATGGCCGATTCAGAGCGTGATACCGCGGTTCGAGAGCTCGTAGCCAAGGAGGTGCAGGCTGCCCTGCAGAACGCAGCTGCACAGCAAAGCGTAGCTACAGCTCTGGGAAGCGTAGTGGGATCTCTTTCCCATGTGAGAGCATCGATGCCGGACACCTTTGTTCCAGGGAAAGGACAACCGGTGGTTCGACGATGGCTCTTCCTAGTGGAAGAATATCTACGCTTGAGCCATGTGGCTGGTGAGGAGTGGGCATCATTTGCTGGAACCCTACTCCGAGGCTCTGCGGTTGCATGGTGGCAATCGGTGCGACCTGCTATCCAAAACCTGGCAGCAATTCAAGGAAGCTCTTGTTGCGTCATACGAACCTATCAACGCGATGGCAAGGGCGCGTGATCGACTTGCAAATCTGCGGCAGCGTACTTCTGTAGCAGATTACATCGCTGAATTTCGTGACATTTCCACCGAAATTTCAGACCTTTCAACGGCTGAGGCGCTGGACAAGTTTAAGCGCGGGTTGAAGGATGACGTTAGTAGAGGTGCAGGGATGTAGTTCGCTTGAGGAGATGGCGTGTGTCGCTGAACGATACGATGAGATTCATTCCGGTAACCGTCGCAACCGTTTTAACCGTGGGATGCGGTTCAGTCCGAACATGTTCCAGCCTTTCCATGGGGAGCAGCGTGGTGGTGCAGGACCGACACCAATGGAGCTGGATACGATTGACAATAACAAGGAGAAGCGGAAGGGCTTTGCTGGAAATTTTTTCAAGTGTGGGAAGCGTGGCCACAAAGCACTCAACTGCCCTACCAAGCCAAGGCAGCCGGGAAACAAGCCTCACCAGTAGCTTCGGGGCGAGTTGCTGGTGGTGAGGAGTGCCCCACCTTGCTGACTCCATCCTCAACGCCGCTGCAGCAGGAGTCGGAAGGAGCCATAGTACTTCCGGGGCAGATTCGTGGTAAGGAGGTAAAGATGTTGCTGGATAGTGGTGCTTCATCCAATTTCATTTCTTCTCGGCTGGTGCATGAATTGAAGTTACCTGTGCAGAGCTGTACAGTGGAGAGTACGGTGCGCATGGCGGATGGTGTAGTGAGGAGCTGTGGACCTGAGTTGTACACGGTCATGACATCATCTTGGGCAGGAATTGGTTGGCAGCAGTGAACCCTCAGGTGGATTGGAGAACCAGGGAGGTGAAGGTGTTGTTTGGGGGGAGGTTGATTCGCCTACCAGTGGTGCAGCAGCAGGAGGGGATGACCTTCCAGCTGATTAGTGCGAAGCAGTTTGGTAAGGCCATTCGAGGGGAGGAAGCAGTTTTTCTAGGTCTCATCACAGAGGTCCAGCCTACATCACCTGACGCAGTAACACCAACGGTTTCAGCATCACATGAGGATCAGGAGTTACACGGGGTGTAGAGAAGCTGCTGGAAAATTTTTCAGGGGTGTTTCCCGAGGACTTACCGGCTGGACTTCCTCCTAAGCGAGCTGCAGATCACAGGATAGAGTTGATTCCTGGATCTACCCCACCAGTTAGACCGACCTACAAGATGAGTGCAGTGGAGCTGAAGGAGCTGAAGAAGCAGTTAGAGGACCTGTTAGCTAAGGAGTTCATTCAGCCTAGTTCTTCTCCGTATGCTTCTCCGGTGCTGTCCGTGCGGAAGAAGGACGGTTCTCTGCGGATGTGTGTAGATTACCGCGGGCTAAACAAGATAACAGTGAAGAACCGATACCCACTGCCACGGATAGATGAGCTGTTTGAGCAAGTTGGTGAGGCACGGTACTTCTCAAAGTTGGATCTGCGTTCGGGGTATCATCAGGTGCGGATTCAGAGTGAGGACATCCCAAAAACAGCATTCCGAACACGGTACGGTCACTAAGAGTTTCGAGTGTTGCCCTTTGGTCTCACCAACGCTCCAGCCACTTTCCAAGGCATGATGCAGAGCATTTTCAGTGATTTCATTGACAAGTTTCTGGTGGTTTTCATTGATGATTTGCTGGTTTACAGTCGCACTCGTGAGGAGCATCTAAAGCACCTTGAGCTGGTCCTTGCACGGCTGAGTGAGCACAGATTGTATGCCAAGCGTTCCAAGTGTGAGTTTGCAAAGACCAAGCTATCTTTCTTGGGTCATGTCATTTCACATGGGAAGCTGGAAGTAGACAACAGCAAGGTAGCAGTCCTGAAGGAGTGGAAGCAGCCGAGTACAGTGAAGGAGGTGCAGGCTTTCTTGGGGTTAGCTAACTACTACCGGCGGTTTGTGAAGGGATTTGCAGCAGTGGCAGCACCTCTGACCGATCTCTTGCGGAAGGACTCATCATTCAGTTGGGGACCATTGCAGCAGCAAGCTTTTGAGCAGCTCAAAACTTCTCTTATTTCACCCCCTGCCCAAGCAGTACCGAATCCAGAGCTCCCATACTTCATTTGGTGTGATGCATCAGACGTTGCCCTTGGAGCAATTCTCTGCCAGGAGCAGGAAGCTGGGCTGCAGCCAATAGCCTTTGAGTCACGAAAGCTCACTGCTGCAGAGCGCACATACCCCATTCACGAGAGAGAGGCACTTGCTGTGGTGCATGCACTGAAGAAGTGGCGCTGTTATGTGGAGATGCAGCCCGTTACAGTTTTCACTGATCACCGAACACTGGAGTACCTGAAAACACAGTCACAGATCACACCACGGCAGGCACGGTGGGTTCAGTTTTTGGAGCAGTACGTTCCCAATGTTCAGATTGTGTACAAACCAGGGCGCTTCAATCCGGCGGATGTTCTGTCACGGCCAGCAGCAGAGGAGCTGAATGTCATGGGAGTGGTTACATGGGACCGCAACTTCATCACTCGTTTCAGCCGTGGTTACAACCGTGATCAGCTGTACCAACAGAAAGCCCCCCATGACCCATCCTTTCTTTTCAGCAATCCCTTTTGGACCCGTGCAGATTCTGGTGCTGTGTGTGTACCTGATGACTCCAGGCTTCGCCAACTGCTACTACACGAGTACCATGACAATCGGTCACACTTCGGCAGTGACAAGACGTATGCTGCCATTTCTCGTGACTACTACTGGCCTAGACTGTCCCGGAGTGTAGCAGAGTATGTTTCTTCATGTCCTACCTGTCAGGTCAACAAGGCTCGCACCACTGCACCGGCTGGTCTGCTGCAACCATTGGAGATACCCACAGCCCCCTGGACTTGTGTTTCTCTGGATTTTATCACAGACCTACCCCGCACCCCTACAGGCTTTGACAGCATTCTTGTGGTGATTGACAAGCTGTCCAAGATGGCTCACTTCATCCCTACAACCGGCACAATGACTGCTGCTGAAACTGCAAAGCTGTTTTTCACGCATGTGGTGAGGCTACACGGACTGCCCTCAGCCATAATCAGTGACAGAGACACACGGTTCCTCAGTAACTTCTGGACCGCACTGTTTCAACTGTTGGGCACACAGATTCGACTCTCTACAGCCTACCACCCTGAAACTGACGGTCAGACAGAGCGCATGAACAGAACCTTGGAGGATGCGCTACGCTCGTGTGTGAATTCTATGCAAACTGACTGGGAGCAGCACTTGGCAGCAGTGGAGTTTGCCTACAACAGCAGCCCCAACATTGCCACGGGAGAGCCACCGTTTCTTTTAGCTACTGGACAGCTACCACGCTCAGTCATATCCCTCCCTCACCCTCTTCATTCTCCTAACCCCAGAGCAGCAGATTTCATCTCTTCTCATCACCGCATTCTCCAACTTGCCCGAAGGAAGCTTCAGCTTGCACAAGAGCGCCAAGTTCGCTATGCCAACCAGCATAGGCGTCACACCACTTTCAGAGTTGGTGATTTGGTGCTGCTTTCAACGGCTAACCTGCCCCTGCTGAATGCTGGAACTTCTCGCAAGCTCGCACCCAGATTCGTTGGACCATTCCCCATCACCAAGGTTCTCTCATCGGTCAGCTACCACCTTCAACTTCCTCCTCACATGCTCATACACCCTGTTTTCCATGTTCACCTTCTTCGATCTTACCGTACTCCCTCTCACCCATTCCAGCCCCGTCCACCCATGTTCTCTGCCCATCCGGACCTGCATGAGGTCGAGACCATCCTCTCACACCGTGACACCCCGGTTGGCCATGAATACCTCATTCACTGGCGCAACACATCTGCATCTGAAGATTCATGGGAGCCATTCTCCAACCTCAGCCATGCTCCTCGTGCCATTGGAGTGTATCTTGCCTCATTGGCACCGAGGACAGTGCCTTCAGGGAAGGGAGGTAATGTAACAAGTGGGGGCTGCACTAGAGGCAGCGTGAAGCGCACGGGAGGCGAAAGCATGCAGCAGCAGCGTGCAACTGTGAACGTGGGCAGCAAAGGGACGGAAGTGAGCAGGACGTGGGGGACCCACGTGAGAAGGGCGAAACTGAGGTTTCGTGCCTTGACTGACTTGGGGGGACTTCCGCGTGGGACAGGTGGCGAAAGTCCAGACTTGGAGGAATAGAAATGTAACATGTGTGTGGGTGCAGTGAGGTGTACAAACGTGAGTAGAAATATGGAATGCGGCTCGATGTTGGGGCTGGCCACCTGAATCGACATTCTGAGCCGCATGTCTGAATTGTAAATGTACTGTACATATAAAAATGCATTCGTAGGAATTAGAGAGTAGTTGATGTTTCTCTTTCTATTTGTTCTTCCTTGCTTCTAAGGAAATTCTCTTGGGGAAGAATTCTCAGCCAGAAACAACTTGAACAAGCCCAAGTGCCATGAGCTTGTTTCAAATAGCCCCTATGGCACGCGGCCGCTGGGATTGTGAAAGTTTAGAAGAGAGAAGAGGATTGAACTAGCAAGAATGGGGATACAAATAGCAAACCCTAGAAGGGTTGTACTCGCTATGGAGCACCCCACTACAGGCTAGAGCATAATATTCTGACACACCCCCATAGCCAAAGTGGGGTGTAATCAGCAGAGCAAGCAAAGCAGTACAAGCTCAGGGTGGATCACAATGTCACCACACATTCTGAGCACAAGTTCAAGAAGCAATAGTATAAAGTTAACAATTATGAGCAAAGCTAGTGGTAGTCACAACGAGAAAGTGAGGAGGAGGAGAGAGAGTGAGAGGAGAGGAGATAGGAGGTGACGGATGAAGCTGCAGACACACGGGCAACAGGAGGCACACTGGCACAGCGGCTACCGGAACAACGCTCCGGAATACTGGAGTAACTGGCCCCGCGGCTAAAGTAGCGGCAGACGAGCAACGGACCTACGGGCGGCTGGCACAGGTGGCTACGACTGGGCTACCGGACGAAGTCCCCGGAATACAGGTGCTGCTGGTGACACGACGGCAATCTCCATTCAGCTTCCCCAAACTATCCCACTCCCCCTGGCACATACCCGCTGCTACACCGCTAGGGTCACTCACACCCCACCCCCTAACACGACTCCGTCGACTCCCACACACCCACCCCCCTTAGCGGCAGCTGCAGCAGTGGGAGACAGAGGAGGAGGAGGAGCAGGGGAGACCACACACCCGCCACCCCCCCACTCGCCACCCCCAAACCCTAACACAGGGCAGGGCGGGATGGCGGGTAGGGAGGTTACGGGGGAGGGGGGGAGGGGGGGGGGGGGGGGGGGGGGGACCGATGCGCGGCCTCCCAGGGCGCCACAACAGGCGGCAGAAGGGGCGGCTCCCGCCCCCCTCCCCCAGGTCGCTTCTCCCGTCGCCCGTCGCGGCTCCCTCGGGGGCCGGGGCGGGGCCGGGGCCATGCAAGGGCGGCGACGGGGTCGCTGCGCGCAGCGATGGCGCGGCCGATGCGGGCGGGGACAGGTCGCTGGGGCGGCGACGGGGCCGCTGCGGGCAGCGAAGGGGCCGCTGCGCGCGGCGACGGGCCCGCTGCGGGCGGCGACGGGGCCGACGCGCGGGTCCCCGTCGCTCGTCGCAGCGCCTCCCGAGGGCGACGCGCCGAGTGACGGGGCAGAAGCCCGCCGCGCGCCTCGGGGCGCACAGCGGGCAGAAAACCGCCGCGCGCCTCGGGGCGCACGGCGGGAAGAAAAAACTGCCGCACGCCACAGGGCGTGCGGCACAGAGAGTAGCAGTAGTAGTTGCAGCGGAAGCAACGAGGTGGTGAGCCCACCCACAGGATCGATCCAAGAGGATCGACCTGCTCTGATACCATGTGAAATTATGAACGAGGATGAATGAACTATGAATGAAGTGGGTACAAGTACTAACCCTAATTGGGTTGTACTCGCTATGGAGCACCCCACTACAGGCTAGAGCATAATATTCTGACAGGGATAAGCGCCTCGCATGCAGCGCGAGGAGGGGTTCGCACACGCGAGCATCGCAAAAACAGCGAGGGTGGAGGGGTAGCATTACTAATGCTAAACCTAGTATATTCAGGTGCTTCAAAGCTGCTCGGCGTGAAATGACTTTAGGGTTACGCCAACCCTAACTTGCAGCTGCTTTCAACGTGGGCGCTTCGGGAAACAGTGGAATGACTAGACGAATTGGTTTTGAGCTTGCGTGGAGGAGTTTCATTCGTTGATTCATTGCTACGGGAAACCTGCTTCAAGCAAAATGCTTCGCCTTCGTGCATTTCCTGTGTTTGGGCTCGCCCATTTCGTTCAATTTCGGCTAGTATTCTCTTCCGTTCTAATCCTCGCTAAGGACTTAGTGGTTACACTGCCTGTTGTGCAGGGTTCTATAGCTGTGAATTACCTGCATTGTCTGTGATATATAAGGGTACATTCCTGTGGGGACACTTGTGTCTCAATCCCCGTTTTCCAGAATCGCGCCTGTTAATTTTCCCAATGTTGTGTCACAAACATCGAATGTACCGCGATGTAGGGCGACATATTGGCAGGTTCAGTTGGACACGTTTCACTGGCGGGGATCAAAAAGAGATGTACAGGTGTGTGCATTTGACTGGGTGACCACGTCCGCGACCACGTCCGCGACCACGTCCACGTCTACGTCCGCGTCCGCGTCCACGACCACGTCCACGACCGCGTCGAAGTCCGCGTCCACATCCACGACCGCGTCCGCGTCCGCGTCCACGTCCACGACCACGTCCGCGACCGCGTCCACGTCCACGACCGCATCCACGTCCGCGTCCACGTCCACGACCGCATCCACGTCCACGACCACGTCCGCCGTCCACGTCCGCGTCCACGTCCACGTCCCCGTCCACGTCCGCGTCCACGACCACGTCCACGTCCACGACCGCGTCCCCGTCCACGTCCACGTCCACGTCCACGACCGCGTCGACGACCGCGTCCACGTCCACGACCGCGTCGACGACCGCGTCCACGTCCACGACCGCATCCGCGTCCGCGTCCACGTCCACGACCGCGTCCGCGACCGCGTCCACGTCCACGACCGCGTCCGCGTCCACGTCCACGACCGCGTCCACGACCGCGTCCACGTCCACGTCCAGGTCCACCACGTCCACGTCCACGTCGTCCACGTCCACGTCCACGTCCACGTCCGCGTCCACGTCGAGGTCCACGTCCACGTCCACGTCCACCACCCCGTCCACGTCCACGTCCATGACCACCACGACCGGATCCATGTCCGCGCCCACGTCCACGTCCACGACCGCGTCCGTCCACCTCCACGCCCACGTCCATGTCCACGACCACGTCCGCGTCCACGTCCACGTCCGCGACCACGTCCACGTCTACGTCCGCGTCCGCGTCCACGACCACGTCCATGATCGCGTCCACGTCCACGTCCACGTCCACGACCACGTGCTCCACGTCCTCGTCCGCGTCCACGACCACGTCCACCACCACGTCCACGTCCGCGTCCGCGTCGACGTCCGCATCCGCGACCGGGTCCGCGTCCGCGACCGGGTCCGCGTCCACGTCCACCACGTCCACGTCCACGTCCGCGTCCACGTCCGCGTCCACCACGTCCACGTCCACGTCCGCGTCCACGACGTCCACGTCCACGTCCGCATCCACGTCCACGACCATGTCCGCGTTTACGTCCACGTCCTCGTCCACGTCCACGTCCGCATCAACGTCCACGTCCACGTCCACCACGTCCACGTCCACGTCCACGTCCGCGTCTACGTCCGCGTCCACGACGTCCACGTCCACGTCCGCATCCACGTCCACGACCATGTCCGCGTTCACGTCCACGTCCTCGTCCACGTCCACGTCCGCATCAACGTCCACGTCCACGTCCACCACGTCCACGTCCACGTCCACCACGTCCACGTCCACCACCACGTCCACGTCCACGCCCACGTCCACGTCCACGACCGCGTCCGTCCACGCCCACGTCCACGTCCACGACCGCGTCCGTCCACGTCCGCGCCCGCGTCCACGACCGCGTCCGTCCACGTCCGCGCCCGCGTCCGCGTCCACGACCACGTCCGCGTCCGCGCCCGCGTCCGCGTCCACGACCACGTCCGCGTCCGCGTCCGCGTCCCCGTCCCCGACCACGTCCGCGTCCGCGTCCGCGTCCCCGTCCCCGTCCACGTCCACGTCCACGTCCGCGTCCTCGTCCACGTCCACGTCCACTGCGTCCACGTCCACGACCACGTCCACGACGTCCACGTCCACCACGTCCACGTCCACGACGTCCACGTCCGCGACCACGTCCGCGTCCGCGTCCGCGTCCGCGTCCACGACCGCGTCCACGACCGCGTCCACGTCCAGGTCCACGTCCACGTCCACGTCCACGTCCGTATCCACGTCCACGACCGCGACCACGACCGCGTCCACGTCCGCGTCCACGTCCACGACCGCGTCCAAGTCCGCGTCCACGTCCACGACCGCGACCACGACCGCGTCCACCTCCACGTCCAGGTCCACCACGTCCACGTCCACGTCGTCCACGTCCACGTCCCGTCCACGACCGCGTCCGCGTCCGCGTCCACGTCCACGTCCGCGTCCACGTCCAGGTCCACGTCCGGGTCCACGTCCGCGTCCACGTCCGCGTCCACGTCCGCGTCCACGTCCGCGTCCACGTCCGCGTCCACGACCGCGTCCCCGTCCGCGTCCACGACCGCGTCCGCGACCGCGTCCACGTCCGGGTCCACGTCCGCGTCCACGTCCGCGTCCACGTCCGCGACCACGTCCGCGACCACGTCCGCGACCACGTCCGCGTCCGCGACCGCGACCACGTCCACGCCCACGTCCGCGACCACGTCCGCGTCCGCATCCACGTCCACGACCACGTCCACGACCACGTCCACGTCCACGTCCATGACCACGTCCACGACCGCGTCCTCGTCCACGTCCACGTCCGCGTCCACGTCCGCGTCCGCGTCCACGTCCACGTCCACGACTGCGTCCGTCCACGTCCACGCCCACGTCCACGCCTACGTCCACGTCCACGTCCACGTCCACGTCCACGTCCACCACCACGTCCACGACCACCACGACCGCGTCCACGTCCACGCCCGCGTCCACGTCCACGACCGCGTCCTCGTCCGCGTCCACGTCCGCGTCCACGTCCGCGTCCACGTCCACGTCCACGTCCACGACCGCGTCCGTCCACGTCCACGCCCACGTCCACGCCTACGTCCATGTCCACGTCCACCACCACGTCCACGACCACCACGACCGCGCCCACGTCCACGCCCGCGTCCACGTCCACGACCGCGTCCGTCCACGTCCACGCCCACGTCCACGACCACGTCCACGTCCGCGTCCACGCCCACGTCCGATTCCACGACCACGTCCATGTCCGCGTCCACGCCCACGTCCGCGTCCACGTCCACGTCCACGACCGCGTCGACCTCCACGTCGACGTCCGCACGTCCACGTCCACCACGTCCACGTCCGCGTCCACGTCCACCACGTCCACGTCCGCGTCCACGTCCACGTCCGCACGTCCGCGTCCGCGTCCACGTCCACGTCCTCCACGTCCACGCCCACGTCCAGGTCCACGTCCACGTCCCCGACCACGTCCACGTCCAGGTCTACGTCCACGTCCAGGTCCACGTCCACGTCCCCGTCCACGTCCACGTCCACGACCACGTCCACGACCGTGTCCCCGTCCACGTCCACGTCCACGAACGCGTCCAAGTCCGCGTCCACGTCCACGACCGCGTCCACGACCGCGTCCACGTCCGCGACCGCGTCTAAGTCCGCGTCCACGTCCACGACCGTGTCCAAGTCCGCGTCCAAGTCTGCGACCGCGTCCACGTCCACGACCGCGTCCACGTCCACGACCGCGTCCACGTCCACGTCCAGGTCCACAACATCCACGTCCACGTCGTCCACGTCCACGTCCACGTCCGCGTCCACGTCCACGTCCACGTCCACGTCCAGGTCCACGTCCACGTCCACGACCGCGACCACGTCCACGTCCACGTCCGCGTCCGCGACCACGTCCGCGTCCGCGACCACGTCCACGACCGCGTCCGCGTCCACGTCCGCGACCGCGACCGCGTCCGCGTCCGCGTCCAAGTCCACGCGTCCCCGTCCGCGTCCGCGTCCGCGACCGCGTCCACGTCCACGTCCACGACCACGACCACGTCCACGTTCACCACGTCCACGTCCACGTCCACCACGTCCACGACCACGTCCACGTTCACCACGTCCACGTCCACTTCCATCACGTCTATGTCCACCACGTCCACGTCCACGTCCACGTACACGTCTACGTCGACCCGGCGGAACAAAATTGCTCGGAACAAGCGCTTCTAGTCCCATAATGCGGAAGGATACGCACATGTGCAAGAAGTGCAGCGGGCACTCTCCATTCGCGATCGCCGATGATCGATGATGCTCGCAACCCTCCCACGCCCTTGCAGGCTTGGTAAAAGGACCAGATTAGCGCAGCCACGTGACCTAGTGGAAGAAAAACGCTCGGAACGAACGCTTCCAGGCTCAAAATACGGAAGGATACGCACAGGTGCAGAAGTGCAGCGGGCGCTCTCCATTCGCGAGCGCCGATGACCGATGATGCTCGCAACCCTCCCATGCCCTTGCTGGCTTGGTAATAGGACCAGACAAGCGCAGCCGCGTGACCCGGCGGAAGAAAATTGCTCGGAACGAGCGATTCCAGCCTCAAAATGCGGAAGGATACGTACATGTGCAGGAAGTGCAGCGGGCGCTCTCCATTCGCGATCGTCGATGACTGATGATGCTTGCAACCCTCCCATACCCTTGCTGGCTTGGTAATAGGACCAAAGAAGTGCAACCACGTGACCCGGCGGAAGAAAAACTCGCGGAGCGAGCGCTTCCAGCCTCAAAATGCGGAAGGATACGCACATGTGCAGGAAGTGCAGCGGGCACTCTCCATTCGCGAGCGCCGGTGACCGATGATGCTCGCAACCCTCCCATGCCCTTGCTGGCTTGGTAATAGGACCAGAGAAGCGCAGCCACGTGACCCGGGGGAAGGAAAACGCTCGGAACGAGTGCTTCCAGCCCTAAAATGCGGAAGCATACGCACATGTGCAGGAAGTGCAGCGGGCGCTCTCTCCATTCGCGATCAGATGACCGATGATGCTCGCAACCCTCCCACGCCATTACTGGCTTGGTAATAGGACCAGACAAGCACAGCAGCGTGACCCGGTGCAAGAAAAACGCTCGGAACGAGCGCTTCCAGCCCCAAAATACAGAAGGATACGCACATGTGTAGGAAGTGCTGCGGGCGCTCTCCATTGGCGATCGCCGATGACCGATGATGCTCGCAACCCTCTCACGCCCTTGCTGGCTTGGTAATAGGACCAGAGAAGCATAGCCACGTGACCCGGCGGAACAAAAACGCCCAGAACAAGCGCATCCAGCCTCAAAATGCGGAAGGATCAGCACATGTGCAGGAAGTGCAGCGGGCGCTCTTCATTCGCGAGCGCCGATGACCGATGATACTCACAACCCTCCCATGCCCTTGCTGGCTTGGTAATAGGACCAGACAAGCACAGCTGCGTGACCCGGCGGAAGAAAAACGCTCGGAACGAGCGCTTCCAGCCCCAAAATACGGAAGGATACGCACATGTGCAGGAAGTGCAGGGCGCTCTCCATTCGCGATCGCCGATGACCGATGATGCTCGCAACCCTCCCATGCCCTTGCTGGCTTGGTAATAGGACCAGACAAGCACAGCTGCGTGACCCGGCGGAAGAAAAACACTCGGAACGAGCGCTTCCAGCCCCAAAATACGGAAGGATGCGCACATGTGCAGGAAGTGCAGGGCGCTCTCCATTCGCGATCGCCGATGACCGATGATGCTCGCAACCTTCCCATGCCCTTGCTGGCTTGGTAATAGGACCAGAGAAGCGCAGTTACGTGACCCGGTGGAAGAAAAACGCTCGGAACGAGTGCTTCCAGCCCTAAAATGCGGAAGGATACACACATGTGCAGGAAGTGCAGCGGGCGCTCTCCATTCGCGATCGCCGATGACTGATGATGCTCGCAACCCTCCCATAACCTTGCTGGCTTGGTAATAGGACCAGAGAAGTGCAACCACGTGACCCGGCGGAAGAAAAACTCGCGGAACGAGCGCTTCCAGCCTCAAAATGCGGAAGGATACGCACATGTGTAGGAAGTGCAGCGGGCACTCTCCATTCGCTAGCGCCGGTGACCGATGATGCTCGCAACCCTCGCATGCCCTTGCTGGCTTGGTAATAGGACCAGAGAAGCGCAGCAACGTGACCCGGCGGAAGGAAAACGCTCGGAACGAGTGCTTCCAGCCCCAAAATGCGGAAGCATACGCACATGTGCAGGAAGTGCAGCGGGCGCGCTCTCCATTCGCGATCAGATGACCGATGATGCTCGCAACCCTCCCACGCCATTGCTGGCTTGGTAATAGGACCAGACAAGCGCAGCAGCGTGACGCGGTGCAAGAAAAACTCTCGGAACGAGCGCTTCAAGCCTCAAAATACGGAAGGATACGCACATGTGTAGGAAGTGCAGCGGGCGCTCTCCATTGGAGATCGCCGATAACCGATGATGCTCGCAACCCTCTCACACCCTTGCTGGCTTGGTAATAGGACCAGAGAAGCACAGCCACGTGACCCGGCGGAACAAAAACGCTCACACAAGGGAACACCTGCCACACACCACACACCAACGACCCTCACACACGGTGATAAAAGATTGCAGCTAAGGGGCACATGCAAGATGCAGCAGTTCCAGCAGTTGACAGCTTGAAGCATCCCAGAGGTGGCGCACATGGCGGCACTGAGGTGAGCCCATGGCAGGCGGCACTGAGGTGAGCCCATGGCAAGCGGCACTGAAGTGAGCCCATGGCAGGCGGCACTGAGGTGAGCCCATGACACGCACCTCATGCAGCAGGTTGGTGCCTTCACTCGACACGCACCTCATGCAGCAGGTTGGTGCCTTCACTCGACACGCACCTCATGCAGCAGGTTGGTGCCTTCACTCGACATGTAGAACACACGGCGGATGGTGCGGGCAGAGGAGGTGACGCGTCAGACGACTGCAGAGAGAATGGGGGTAGGAAATGGGAGAGGAAGACAGGCAGCAGGAGGAGCACACGTGAGCACACTCCATCAACCTGGGTGGTGGACGTGTGTGGGTGTGAGAGGGCCGTCGAGGCATGCAGAGGCGGCATTGCAGCAACAAGGCGGTGGGAGCAGTGCAGTGTGACCTTGTCAACGGTGAGCGGCAGGTGGCGTGGGCTGTCCACGACAGCGGGGTGTGAGATGTCGTTCTGCCCGCGGATGATGGTGCAGTCCTGATGCCCATGCCAACACCATGTGGTGCGCCAAGACACCATGTGGTGCGCCAACACACCATGTGGTGCGCCACCACACCATGTGGTGCGCCACCACACCATGTGGTGCGCCACCACACCATGTGGTGCGCCAACACACCATGTGGTGCGCCAACACACCATGTGGTGCGCCAACACACCATGTGGTGCGCCAACACACCATGTGGTGCGCCACCACACCATGTGGTGCGCCAACACGCCATGTGGTGCGCCAACACACCATGTGGTGCGCCAACACACCATGTGGTGCGCCAAGACACCATGTGGTGCGCCAACACACCATGTGGTGCGCCAACACACCATGTGGTGCGCCAACACACCATGTGGTGCGCCACCACACCATGTGGTGCGCCACCACACCATGTGGTGCGCCAACACACCATGTGGTGCGCCAACACGCATACGGGAAGGGCGGGTCGCACGCACAAAGACATAGGGGAGGGATATTGGGATTAGATGAAAATTGGGACAGGTCACTGGAGTGAGTGGAAGGAGAAATGGGCCGTATGGTAATCACTGAAAGGGGATGGCCATGCAATGCTAATGCGGGGCCAAAGTGGGTCACACTGCAATGATAGGCAATGGAGGCGGTGAAAGAGCTAGGCAGGGGCTTTTGTCAGTATGGGAGGTGGGATGAGAGGCATGGCTAAAGGGAGGAAGTGGTGTGTGGGGGGGGATGTGGGGGGGGGGGGGGGGGGGGGGGGGGGGGGGGGCTACGTAGAGCTCGGCGCCGAGAGTGAAGCGGTCATTGGTACAGACACAGGGCAGCACGAGGCTGCGCTGCGGGATGTTGGAGACGCGCGAGAAGAGGAAGATGGCGGCGTCCAGCGAGCGGAAGAAGGCGCGCGCGCCTGAGAAGAAGAAGTTGCCCACACTGGTAGTGGAAGTGCAGGAGGCGAACCTGGTAGTGGAAGTGCCAGGAGGCGAACCTGGTAGTGGAATTGCAGGAGGCGAACCTGGTAGTGGAAGTGCAGGAGGAAGGCGCGGATGATCTCTTTGTATGGATCCGACACGTCCCCCCACAGCTCATGCTCGCCCTCCACTATGCTCAGCCTGCACACCCACCGCACCCACACACACACACCACATGCCCATGGCACGCCCCACTGTGAGTGAGCCGTGCGCACCAGCCCACAGAGAACGGTGGGCGGGTGATGGATGTAGTAAGTGGTTGTGATGGGTGTGGTGTGGTGTGGGCGCGAGGTCACCATTCAGCCTTGGCTTGCGCGGGGTGCAGTGGCAGGCGGTGTCCAAGCAGTCGCCGCACTGCTCTGGCCTCGTGGCTGGACCCGTCGGACAGCCGCAGGCAGCGGGAGCGAATGTCACCGATGGCAGGCCCGCTTGGGGGCAGAGAGAGAGTGGTGCGGGATGAGGGGTGCGGGATGAGGGGTGCGGGATGAGGGGGTCAAAGCGGGTGCGGAGTGAGAGAGGTGGGCGCTGGAGGGAGCATGAGAAGCGTGGTGTGGCAGTGTGGTGTGGCAGCGTGATGTGGCAGCGTGGTGTGGCAACAGTAGAACCACCTTGCAGGGGAGCGGTGAGGCAGAGAGCAGCAGGGTGTGAGTGAGTGGCTGACCTATGACGCGCACAATCACTGCGGTGCTGCCGCCATCATCAGAGACGGGCAGCACGTGCGCCACAGTGGTGGTCCACTCGTGTAGCGCCTCCGCCACTGCGTTGAACGCCGTGCCTCCTGCCGTGCCGCACCATGCACGCACAGGGGCACAAGGCCGGCACCGGCACCACAGAGAGAGAGAGAGGTGCACGTCAGCATGTAGAGCGGCAGGGGTGGCGGCAGGCGACGGGGGCAGGCGAGGCAGCGGGAGCAGCGGGAGGGTACCGGAGAAGACGAGCAGAGATGGCTCCTTGCTCAGGTGGCCCTCCATGGATGCGCATGCATCCGCATGGGCGCTCCTATGACTGCCCATACTCAAGGCCGCGTCTGACCAGGGGCCTGCTGCCCCTAAGGTGGGGGGCTGACCCTAGGGTGGGGGGGGCTGACCCTAGGGTGGGGGGGGCTGACCCTAGGGTGGGGGGGCTGACCCTAGGGTGGGGGGGGCTGACCCTAGGGTAGGGGGGCTGACCCTAGGGTGGGAGGGGCTGGCCCTAGGGTGGGGGGGGCTGACCCTAGGGTGGGGGGGCTGACCCTAGGGTGGGGGGGGCTGACCCTAGGGTGGGGGGAGCTGACCCTAGGGTGGGGGGGCTGACCCTAGGGTGGGGGGGGCTGACCCTAGGGTGGGGGGGCTGACCCTAGGGTGGGGGGGGCTGACCCTGGCGTCATGGCGCCCAGCACAGGCAGGTCAGCACACGTGGGTGCGGGCTGTGCGTGCGCGTGTGAGATCGGGACTGCTGTGCCCCGCTCCTCTGCTGCCGCACTGTCTCCTCGCCCTGCTGCCGCCCTCTCCCCCACCCCTGCAGCACAGCCTCGTCCCACGTGCTCGCCCTCACGCACGGTCATGTGTGACGCCGCTGCCTGCCCTCCCTCCTCCGCGCCGCTTCCCCGCACCACCTCCCCCACGCTCACTCCCCTTGCAGCCGTGCCCGCCCGCTTCTCCTCCACCGCTTCTTGCCGCAGAACGATGTTCACGCGTCCTCCACGCATTCTCCCCCTCCCATCTCCCACTCCCGACTTTCCCCGCTTCCCCCGCTCTCCACCACCTTTGATTCCCCCGCTCCGCCTGTCCCCGCCAGCATTGCAGACAACTGCGCTGCTGCGACAGCAACACGGCTGCGCTCGCCGCCGAATCGCCAAGGGTAACGGAGGGTGCGCGCGCACGGAGAAACTTCGACGCAATCGCTCCGGAGGCGGTCGGCAATAGTGTAACAAGTGGGGGCTGCACTAGAGGCAGCGTGAAGCGCACGGGAGGCAAAAGCATGCAGCAGCAGCGTGCAATTGCGAACGTGGGCAGCAAAGGGACGGAAGCGAGCAGGACGTGGGGGACCCACGTGAGAAGGGCGAAACTGAGGTTTCGTGCCTTCACTGGCTTGGGAGGACTACCGCGTGGGACAGGTGGCGAAAGTCCAGACTTGGAGGAATAGAAATGTAACATGTGTGTGGGTGCAGTGAGGTGTACAAACGTGAGTAGAAATATGGAATGCGGCTCGATGTTGGGGCTGGCCACCCGAATCGACATTCCGAGCCGCATGTCTGAATTGTAAATGTACTGTACATATAAAAATGCATTCGTAGGAATTAGAGAGTAGTTGGTGTTTCTCTTTCTGTTTGTTCTTCCTTGCTTCTAAGGAAATTTTCTTGGGGAAGAATTCTCAGCCAGAAACAACTTGAACAAGCCCAAGTGCCGTGAGCTTGTTCCACTTGGTATCAGAGCCTGTTTTTTCCTCGTGAGTTGCTGCCGGGAGATTTTTGCACCATGGCCGATTCAGAGCGTGATGCCGCGGTTCGAGAGCTCGTAGCCAAGGAGGTGCAGGCTGCCCTGCAGAACGCAGCTGCACAGCAAAGCGTAGCTACAGCTCTGGGAAGCGTAGTGGGATCTCTTTCCCATGTGAGAGCATCGATGCCGGACACCTTTGTTCCAGGGAAAGGACAACCGGTGGTTCGACGATGGCTCTTCCTAGTGGAAGAATATCTACGCTTGAGCCATGTGGCTGGTGAGGAGTGGGCATCATTTGCTGGAACCCTACTCCGAGGCTCTGCGGTTGCATGGTGGCAATCGGTGCGACCTGCTATCCAAAACCTGGCAGCAATTCAAGGAAGCTCTTGTTGCGTCATACGAACCTATCAACGCGATGGCAAGGGCGTGTGATCGACTTGCAAATCTGCGGCAGCGTACTTCTGTAGCAGATTACATCGCTGAATTTCGTGACATTTCCACCGAAATTTCAGACCTTTCAACGGCTGAGGCGCTGGACAAGTTTAAGCGCGGGTTGAAGGATGACGTTAGTAGAGGTGCAGGGATGTAGTTCGCTTGAGGAGATGGCGTGTGTCGCTGAACGATACGATGAGATTCATTCCGGTAACCGTCGCAACCGTTTTAACCGTGGGATGCGGTTCAGTCCGAACATGTTCCAGCCTTTCCATGGGGAGCAGCGTGGTGGTGCAGGACCGACACCAATGGAGCTGGATACGATTGACAATAACAAGGAGAAGCGGAAGGGCTTTGCTGGAAATTTTTTCAAGTGTGGGAAGCGTGGCCACAAAGCACTCAACTGCCCTACCAAGCCAAGGCAGCCGGGAAACAAGCCTCACCAGTAGCTTCGGGGCGAGTTGCTGGTGGTGAGGAGTGCCCCACCTTGCTGACTCCATCCTCAACGCCGCTGCAGCAGGAGTCGGAAGGAGCCATAGTACTTCCGGGGCAGATTCGTGGTAAGGAGGTAAAGATGTTGCTGGATAGTGGTGCTTCATCCAATTTCATTTCTTCTCGGCTGGTGCATGAATTGAAGTTACCTGTGCAGAGCTGTACAGTGGAGAGTATGGTGCGCATGGCGGATGGTGTAGTGAGGAGCTGTGGACCTGAGTTGTACACGGTCATGACATCATCTTGGGCAGGAATTGGTTGGCAGCAGTGAACCCTCAGGTGGATTGGAGAACCAGGGAGGTGAAGGTGTTGTTTGGGGGGAGGTTGATTCGCCTACCAGTGGTGCAGCAGCAGGAGGGGATGACCTTCCAGCTGATTAGTGCGAAGCAGTTTGGTAAGGCCATTCGAGGGGAGGAAGCAGTTTTTCTAGGTCTCATCACAGAGGTCCAGCCTACATCACCTGACGCAGTAACACCAACGGTTTCAGCATCACATGAGGATCAGGAGTTACACGGGGTGTAGAGAAGCTGCTGGAAAATTTTTCAGGGGTGTTTCCCGAGGACTTACCGGCTGGACTTCCTCCTAAGCGAGCTGCAGATCACAGGATAGAGTTGATTCCTGGATCTACCCCACCAGTTAGACCGACCTACAAGATGAGTGCAGTGGAGCTGAAGGAGCTGAAGAAGCAGTTAGAGGACCTGTTAGCTAAGGAGTTCATTCAGCCTAGTTCTTCTCCGTATGCTTCTCCGGTGCTGTCCGTGCGGAAGAAGGACGGTTCTCTGCGGATGTGTGTAGATTACCGCGGGCTAAACAAGATAACAGTGAAGAACCGATACCCACTGCCACGGATAGATGAGCTGTTTGAGCAAGTTGGTGAGGCACGGTACTTCTCAAAGTTGGATCTGCGTTCGGGGTATCATCAGGTGCGGATTCAGAGTGAGGACATCCCAAAAACAGCATTCCGAACACGGTACGGTCACTAAGAGTTTCGAGTGTTGCCCTTTGGTCTCACCAACGCTCCAGCCACTTTCCAAGGCATGATGCAGAGCATTTTCAGTGATTTCATTGACAAGTTTCTGGTGGTTTTCATTGATGATTTGCTGGTTTACAGTCGCACTCGTGAGGAGCATCTAAAGCACCTTGAGCTGGTCCTTGCACGGCTGAGTGAGCACAGATTGTATGCCAAGCGTTCCAAGTGTGAGTTTGCAAAGACCAAGCTATCTTTCTTGGGTCATGTCATTTCACATGGGAAGCTGGAAGTAGACAACAGCAAGGTAGCAGTCCTGAAGGAGTGGAAGCAGCCGAGTACAGTGAAGGAGGTGCAGGCTTTCTTGGGGTTAGCTAACTACTACCGGCGGTTTGTGAAGGGATTTGCAGCAGTGGCAGCACCTCTGACCGATCTCTTGCGGAAGGACTCATCATTCAGTTGGGGACCATTGCAGCAGCAAGCTTTTGAGCAGCTCAAAACTTCTCTTATTTCACCCCCTGCCCAAGCAGTACCGAATCCAGAGCTCCCATACTTCATTTGGTGTGATGCATCAGACGTTGCCCTTGGAGCAATTCTCTGCCAGGAGCAGGAAGCTGGGCTGCAGCCAATAGCCTTTGAGTCACGAAAGCTCACTGCTGCAGAGCGCACATACCCCATTCACGAGAGAGAGGCACTTGCTGTGGTGCATGCACTGAAGAAGTGGCGCTGTTATGTGGAGATGCAGCCCGTTACAGTTTTCACTGATCACCGAACACTGGAGTACCTGAAAACACAGTCACAGATCACACCACGGCAGGCACGGTGGGTTCAGTTTTTGGAGCAGTACGTTCCCAATGTTCAGATTGTGTACAAACCAGGGCGCTTCAATCCGGCGGATGTTCTGTCACGGCCAGCAGCAGAGGAGCTGAATGTCATGGGAGTGGTTACATGGGACCGCAACTTCATCACTCGTTTCAGCCGTGGTTACAACCGTGATCAGCTGTACCAACAGAAAGCCCCCCATGACCCATCCTTTCTTTTCAGCAATCCCTTTTGGACCCGTGCAGATTCTGGTGCTGTGTGTGTACCTGATGACTCCAGGCTTCGCCAACTGCTACTACACGAGTACCATGACAATCGGTCACACTTCGGCAGTGACAAGACGTATGCTGCCATTTCTCGTGACTACTACTGGCCTAGACTGTCCCGGAGTGTAGCAGAGTATGTTTCTTCATGTCCTACCTGTCAGGTCAACAAGGCTCGCACCACTGCACCGGCTGGTCTGCTGCAACCATTGGAGATACCCACAGCCCCCTGGACTTGTGTTTCTCTGGATTTTATCACAGACCTACCCCGCACCCCTACAGGCTTTGACAGCATTCTTGTGGTGATTGACAAGCTGTCCAAGATGGCTCACTTCATCCCTACAACCGGCACAATGACTGCTGCTGAAACTGCAAAGCTGTTTTTCACGCATGTGGTGAGGCTACACGGACTGCCCTCAGCCATAATCAGTGACAGAGACACACGGTTCCTCAGTAACTTCTGGACCGCACTGTTTCAACTGTTGGGCACACAGATTCGACTCTCTACAGCCTACCACCCTGAAACTGACGGTCAGACAGAGCGCATGAACAGAACCTTGGAGGATGCGCTACGCTCGTGTGTGAATTCTATGCAAACTGACTGGGAGCAGCACTTGGCAGCAGTGGAGTTTGCCTACAACAGCAGCCCCAACATTGCCACGGGAGAGCCACCGTTTCTTTTAGCTACTGGACAGCTACCACGCTCAGTCATATCCCTCCCTCACCCTCTTCATTCTCCTAACCCCAGAGCAGCAGATTTCATCTCTTCTCATCACCGCATTCTCCAACTTGCCCGAAGGAAGCTTCAGCTTGCACAAGAGCGCCAAGTTCGCTATGCCAACCAGCATAGGCGTCACACCACTTTCAGAGTTGGTGATTTGGTGCTGCTTTCAACGGCTAACCTGCCCCTGCTGAATGCTGGAACTTCTCGCAAGCTCGCACCCAGATTCGTTGGACCATTCCCCATCACCAAGGTTCTCTCATCGGTCAGCTACCACCTTCAACTTCCTCCTCACATGCTCATACACCCTGTTTTCCATGTTCACCTTCTTCGATCTTACCGTACTCCCTCTCACCCATTCCAGCCCCGTCCACCCATGTTCTCTGCCCATCCGGACCTGCATGAGGTCGAGACCATCCTCTCACACCGTGACACCCCGGTTGGCCATGAATACCTCATTCACTGGCGCAACACATCTGCATCTGAAGATTCATGGGAGCCATTCTCCAACCTCAGCCATGCTCCTCGTGCCATTGGAGTGTATCTTGCCTCATTGGCACCGAGGACAGTGCCTTCAGGGAAGGGAGGTAATGTAACAAGTGGGGGCTGCACTAGAGGCAGCGTGAAGCGCACGGGAGGCGAAAGCATGCAGCAGCAGCGTGCAACTGTGAACGTGGGCAGCAAAGGGACGGAAGTGAGCAGGACGTGGGGGACCCACGTGAGAAGGGCGAAACTGAGGTTTCGTGCCTTGACTGACTTGGGGGGACTTCCGCGTGGGACAGGTGGCGAAAGTCCAGACTTGGAGGAATAGAAATGTAACATGTGTGTGGGTGCAGTGAGGTGTACAAACGTGAGTAGAAATATGGAATGCGGCTCGATGTTGGGGCTGGCCACCTGAATCGACATTCTGAGCCGCATGTCTGAATTGTAAATGTACTGTACATATAAAAATGCATTCGTAGGAATTAGAGAGTAGTTGATGTTTCTCTTTCTATTTGTTCTTCCTTGCTTCTAAGGAAATTCTCTTGGGGAAGAATTCTCAGCCAGAAACAACTTGAACAAGCCCAAGTGCCATGAGCTTGTTTCAAATAGCCCCTATGGCACGCGGCCGCTGGGATTGTGAAAGTTTAGAAGAGAGAAGAGGATTGAACTAGCAAGAATGGGGATACAAATAGCAAACCCTAGAAGGGTTGTACTCGCTATGGAGCACCCCACTACAGGCTAGAGCATAATATTCTGACACACCCCCATAGCCAAAGTGGGGTGTAATCAGCAGAGCAAGCAAAGCAGTACAAGCTCAGGGTGGATCACAATGTCACCACACATTCTGAGCACAAGTTCAAGAAGCAATAGTATAAAGTTAACAATTATGAGCAAAGCTAGTGGTAGTCACAACGAGAAAGTGAGGAGGAGGAGAGAGAGTGAGAGGAGAGGAGATAGGAGGTGACGGATGAAGCTGCAGACACACGGGCAACAGGAGGCACACTGGCACAGCGGCTACCGGAACAACGCTCCGGAATACTGGAGTAACTGGCCCCGCGGCTAAAGTAGCGGCAGACGAGCAACGGACCCACGGGCGGCTGGCACAGGTGGCTACGACTGGGCTACCGGACGAAGTCCCCGGAATACAGGTGCTGCTGGTGACACGACGGCAATCTCCATTCAGCTTCCCCAAACTATCCCACTCCCCCTGGCACATACCCGCTGCTACACCGCTAGGGTCACTCACACCCCACCCCCTAACACGACTCCGTCGACTCCCACAGACCCACCCCCCTTAGCGGCAGCTGCAGCAGTGGGAGACAGAGGAGGAGGAGGAGCAGGGGAGACCACACACCCGCCACCCCCCCACTCGCCACCCCCAAACCCTAACACAGGGCAGGGCGGGATGGCGGGTAGGGAGGTTACGGGGGAGGGGGGGAGGGGGGGGGGGGGGGGGGGGGGGACCGATGCGCGGCCTCCCAGGGCGCCACAACAGGCGGCAGAAGGGGCGGCGCCCGCCCCCCTCCCCCAGGTCGCTTCTCCCGTCGCCCGTCGCGGCTCCCTCGGGGGCCGGGGCGGGGCCGGGGCCATGCAAGGGCGGCGACGGGGTCGCTGCGCGCGGCGATGGCGCGGCCGATGCGGGCGGGGACAGGTCGCTGGGGCGGCGACGGGGCCGCTGCGGGCAGCGACGGGGCCGCTGCGGGCAGCGACGGGGCCGCTGCGCGCGGCGACGGGCCCGCTGCGGGCGGCGACGGGGCCGACGCGCGGGTCCCCGTCGCTCGTCGCAGCGCCTCCCGAGGGCGACGCGCCGAGTGACGGGGCAGAAGCCCGCCGCGCGCCTCGGGGCGCACAGCGGGCAGAAAACCGCCGCGCGCCTCGGGGCGCACGGCGGGAAGAAAAAACTGCCGCACGCCACAGGGCGTGTGGCACAGAGAGTAGCAGTAGTAGTTGCAGCGGAAGCAACGAGGTGGTGAGCCCACCCACAGGATCGATCCAAGAGGATCGACCTGCTCTGATACCATGTGAAATTATGAACGAGGATGAATGAACTATGAATGAAGTGGGTACAAGTACTAACCCTAATTGGGTTGTACTCGCTATGGAGCACCCCACTACAGGCTAGAGCATAATATTCTGACAGGGATAAGCGCCTCGCATGCAGCGCGAGGAGGGGTTCGCACACGCGGGCATCGCAAAAACAGCGAGGGTGGAGGGGTAGCATTACTAATGCTAAACCTAGTATATTCAGGTGCTTCAAAGCTGCTCGGCGTGAAATGACTTTAGGGTTACGCCAACCCTAACTTGCAGCTGCTTTCAACGTGGGCGCTTCGGGAAACAGTGGAATGACTAGACGAATTGGTTTTGAGCTTGCGTGGAGGAGTTTCATTCGTTGATTCATTGCTACGGGAAACCTGCTTCAAGCAAAATGCTTCGCCTTCGTGCATTTCCTGTGTTTGGGCTCGCCCATTTCGTTCAATTTCGGCTAGTATTCTCTTCCGTTCTAATCCTCGCTAAGGACTTAGTGGTTACACTGCCTGTTGTGCAGGGTTCTATAGCTGTGAATTACCTGCATTGTCTGTGATATATAAGGGTACATTCCTGTGGGGACACTTGTGTCTCAATCCCCGTTTTCCAGAATCGCGCCTGTTAATTTTCCCAATGTTGTGTCACAAACATCGAATGTACCGCGATGTAGGGCGACATATTGGCAGGTTCAGTTGGACACGTTTCACTGGCGGGGATCAAAAAGAGATGTACAGGTGTGTGCATTTGACTGGGTGACAGTTTACCCGTATTTCCAACCTCCGAGCAGGGGCGTGGTTTCGATGCGCGGGATCTTTTCCCTCGCAAAATTGGCATTTTTGGATGTCTAGGAACATGTGGTCGTGTCGGGCATTTCGAGTCGCGTGCGATTCTTTAACAATGACGGGTCGTTTCACAATTCGACAGCGATGTCAGCGCGTTTCACGCTGACCAATAATAAATACAGCACAAGTCGCCGAAAGCCGATTCGCATCTGGGACACAACACAGTTTATGTTGTTTTTGGGTGTCACAAAGTGATTGAGACACAAGTGTCCCCACAGGAATGCACCCAAAGGGTCATTCAGCTCTGGACACTTTCTCAAAGAAAGTGTCTGAATCGATTGGGACATGAAGTTACAGCATTCCGGTATGCTGCAAGGTGTCCGAATTCCAGACCGCTCTTGTTTGTCGCAAAAAGTATTTCTCATTGGGTGGCGTGAAACGCGGAACTGTCGCGGGCTAGTTGCACGCCAACTCAACACACACCAGCCATCGCACGCGGTGCGAAATGTCAATCCATGCTGAATGTACATGGTCATCATTCTACAGGGACGGATTCAGTAGCTACGCGTACTCTGAAACGTGGTTGGCCACACAAGGCTCCTTCGGATTTATTGACCACCCCGCTCATTTCGCGCCCACAGACCTTCCGCCCAGGTGCGTGTGACGCGCAGGTTGAGTGGGCAACTCACACAACGGACCAATCACATTCCTTTACACATAATTGTTCACGAGGTCGCCGTGGGTCGCAGTACCGTATTCTCCCGAATAAAACACCCTAGGGTATTATGAAAACCACTGGGAAAAAATGGGGGGGGTCTCCTCAAAGGAAAATCCTACATAATACTCGGGTATATGGTATATTTTTTATCAAGCAGAAAAGATGTGAAACAAAATCAGGGGTCTGACTTCACTTCGAGATTGTTGACCATTGCCGCAAAACCGAGTATATGAGGATAACGTGACCGCCCACTGGAAACTGCCACGTGGCAAATTCGAGTGGGCAATTCTGGCACTTGATAGGGTGAAAACAAAGCCAATTGCGTGGCGAGGGTTCATGCAACCGCCGAGGCCAGAATCGCGCACGGTGGTGTGTTCTTACTGTACCAGTCACTTCTTGACTGGTTTGGTCACGTGTCTGTGCCTCATGTGAGAAGGTGATTTTCACCTCTTGGGCCACTTGCAGCGGAAGATTCGCCAGCGTGGCGACAGCGAGATTGTGGGAGTGGGGAAATCTCGGCAGATTCTAAGTGAAAGTACATGCGAAATTTCACCTAGGGAGAGATTCTCGCGATATCCTCCCGTAAGGAATCGGACTCGATAACAGCTATAATAGGAATTTATAAGAAAAGGGGGGTGTTGTAGAAAATCACCCCAAAAGGGGGGGTATAGAAACGGGGTCCGATATAACACCCACCCCGTATTAGCTACCCAGGGGTGTACAATTACGGGGGGGTGTTTTATCCGGGAGAATACGGTACATCGATCGATTGGGACATGAAGTTCTGAGACATTAGAGGGCGACTCGGGCCAAAAGTGATTCGGACACTTTCTTTGAGAAAGTGTCCACAGCGGAATGTACCCTAATTTGTTTAATAGGTACAAGGTCGATAAATGCATCATTTCGTTAATTTTGTTCTTATTTATGGCTTGGCAGTAGTGCGAGCAAAGGCTAATCCACCTGCCACCAGCTAATGTAAGCTAGTCGTCGTCTTCTGAGGGTCGGCCACCGGAGAAGAGGTAGGAGGCGGGCAGGTGCAGCACGCGGCCCGACATGATGGGCGGCATGGAGCGGTCTATGGGCACAAACCCTCGCGAAGGGGGTGACGGGTCGTTGGCCTCTGGGGGCCCGGGGGGGATGTCGCAGTGGGGGCGGGCGAGGGTACCGCAGCAGAAAAGGTGTGCCATGAGGTGCGCCATGAAGAGCTGCATGCGCTGCGGCTGCTCCACGTCCTCCTCCGCTGACAGCATCGGCGGCACCGCCGCGTGCAGTGCCGCCTTCTCCCCCTCTGCGTCCCGGCTGTCGGCAGGCGGGCCAGACGCGTCCATCAGCAGCGGGGTCAGTGCCGCCGCCACGCTGCCAATGCTGGGTTGGGGTGGCTGGCTGCCTTGGTGGTGCTGCAGTGAGTGAGAGGTCCCACCCCCTACGCACACCCGACAAGGCGAACCCGCTTCAGGCACTGATGGGGTCGTAGGGGCTTGCTAATCAGCTCTCAATCCAAGCGTCTAGGGTGGAACAGGCAGCAAGCAGCAGCTTCGTCACAATCGCAAGGAGTTGGTGGCGCTGTTGGCACTCCGTACAGCTCCCTGCACTCACACGCCCCTGTGCACTGCGCAGTGCAAGGCCGTGCCGTCACAACGCGGCGACCATCCCTGCTGCCACCATGCGTGTGGCGCTGCCAGGCAGAGAGTGATGGGGTTGACTGGAACGAGGGGGCGAACGGAAGGAGATAGATGGCACCAGAGCGAGAGTGAATGAGCATGGGGGGTGAACACGGGAGAGTAGGCCTGGCGAAAATAGGAATGGGGAGAGTAGGCATGGGAAGAGTAGGCATGGGGGAGCGAACGTGGGGAAACTAGGGAGGGAGAAAGCATTGGGTGTATGATTGAACGTGCCAGGATGGATGAGTGTATGATTCAGGACAATGGCGGCAGCGCGTTGGCCAACCAGTGTGGTGTCATGCTCACAAGTCGCGCCATCATGGCTCAGAGCATCTTCGTTCATCGCGGAAGACATGAGACGAACGACGCGCACGCACACAGAGATCACCGCATGCACACGCCGTGCACACGCCATGCACACGCCATGCACACGCCGTGCACACGCCGTGCACACGCCAAGCACACGCCGCGCACACGCCGTGCACGCAACACACACGATACGACAGCTACGAAACCAACCCTGATTGGTCTCATCGTCGCCAGAAAGCGCGAAGCAAAGCGACATGGTGAGCTGGAGAAACGGCGTTACCAAGTGAGAGGCGAGAATAGCGCGCGCCGCGAGTGAATCAACAGGACTTGGATCAGCCGCGCCGACAGGTGGATTGCCCGCCGCGACTGCCGCTGCCTCGTGCAGGCAGCCGCCGATGAACGTCGCGCGCCAAAAGAGAAGATAATTTCGATGCTTCCCTCTTGTTGCGCCTCACGCGCTGCTTGTTCGCCGCGAGTCGAAAAATGAAAACGACATGTGACGACAGTTCCTGAGATGAAATATAGCAGCGGTGGCTGATGGGAAGGGGGAGAAGAGACAGCGCCGACAATAAGTGTTGCATTCCCCTCAAGCCCTCAATTGCTCCATACCTCCACCCAACCTGGCTGGTTCGGGCACAGGGGAACCTCATCGTCTAGACTCGGGAACTCTGGGGGACAGCCATTGGAAGCCCTGTGGTTCAGGTGGCGGTGGCGAATGTCGATAGCAGGCGAAAAGTTTTGGCGAGATATTATGGAATTTTTCAGGTTCGCACAACATAGCAGCCCGTCAAAATGAGGTTTTTAACGAAGGTCGAGATGTTTACGTGTTGCCCTGATTTCGCGAACCTCGATATTAGTTTCTCGAAAGTCCCACCCGAACCGAAGCAAAACATCCAACCTCGCTAATCAATTTGAACCACAAGACCAACTTTTCGTTTGAACAACCTCGCCTAGTCTGCCTTTCCCATTCCGCCACCCCAACCAAGAGAGGTAGAGTCGCGAGATGAGGTCCCGTTGGTCGCACAGTACCCATCTAAACGACCAGGACTACCCCCTTCGCGAACATACATAGATAAATCTTCTGCTCATTGCGAACCGCTTTGACCGCTGCATCTATCGCGGCGGTGCACGCTAAGCGCATTGTAGCGCGCGACGCGGCAGCGCGCGAGCAACATGTCGCGCATGGTGCAGTGCCCGCGGTGTCGCGCCATCCTGCAGGAGCCGCCCATGGGGCACCCCTTCTACAAGTGCGGCAGCTGCCTCACCGTCCTGCAAGGTGCCCCCTCCGCCTGCCCTCCCGCCACGCCCCCCGCTTGCCCTCCCGCCCCGCCACCCGCTTGCCCTCCCGCCCCGGCTCTCTCCTCCCCCACTTCGTTCGCTCCCTGCATTCTCACCTTGCAAACCCGTTCCGTTTTCTTTCGTCCGACAACTCCCATTGATTTCCCCATCCTCTCCGCTGCCCCCTCTCTCCTTTCACCCGCATTTCCGCCCTCGTGCTCCCGCCTTCAGCGAAGCACGCGGTGGGCGTGGGGGGTCCGCGTCATCCGGTGGGCGTGGAGGTGTCGCTGCCGCGCGCCTCCTCCTCCGCCAACCTCTCTGCGCCTTCCGCTGCAGCACCGCGCGGAGAGGGCGAGGAGCAGCGGGAAGCCGCGGGAGCAGCGGGTGCGGGCGGCGAGGGGGCGAGGTTCAGCCATGACTACAGCAGGGGCGCTGGGGGGGGCGACACAGAGAGGCATGTGTCGCAGCAGTCGCCGCAGCAGTCGCCCGCGCACGCGATGGTGCCTCGCCAGCGCACCATGCCTTCGCGCCTCTTCCCCGCCGCCCACTCCGCCCACTCGCCCTCCCCATTCTCCCTCGCCGCGCCCTCCTCCCCCGGCCCCAGTCGCCCCGGCAGCACCGACCGCCCCGCAACCCCAAGCGGAGCAGAGGGGGCGGAGAGCGACAGCGAGCGCGCGGGGCAAGGCGCGCTCCCCCGCCAGACCACTCTCCCCCCGCGCTTCCCGCACGCCTCCCGCTTCGCACAGCCTCTGGGCCAGCCGCCTCCGGGCCTGCGCACGGCCTCCCCAGACCCGCGCGCGCCTGCAGCAGCGGAGGCGAGCCGGGGGAGGGAGCGGGGCAGTGGGGCGGAAGGGGAGGAAGAGGGGAGCGGAGGCGAGGAGGGGGAGGACGTGTCGGAGCTGCGGCGGCAGGTAACGATGCCAGGGGGGGCGGCGGGGGAGGGCGGGCGGTGGCGGGAGATGGGCGCGCCGAGCAGGGGGCTGCTGAGACAGCTGACAGACCCCCAGGAGAACCGACCCACCGCCAGAGTGGTGCAGAGCGGTGAGGCAGGAGGGTCGAGCGAGGGGGCGGACGGGCAGGAGGGGGAGGGCGGAGGCATGGGCGCGGGCATGGGCATGGGCGCGAGGGCAGGCGAGTGGGGTGAGGGTGCGACAGCAGCAGGGTCGAGCGTGGGGGCATCGCCCTCGCTGCTCCACATTCTCACACGGCAGCGGTCGCAGCACAGCAGAGCGGGCGAGCACGAGAGGGGCGCAGGGCGGGGCGAGGAGGACGAGGGGGAGGAGGAGCACGGGATTGGGGGAGCGAAAAGAGCGGCAGAGAGGGGGGGAGTAGCAGGCATGGGTGGTATGAGCGGTGGCGGGCGTGGGGGAGGGGGGAAGGTCAGGGGCAGTCATGAGGGGCCGTACCTGGTGCGGCTGAAGGGCGAGGACGAGGGGGAGGAGGGTGGGGGAGAGCTTGTGGGGCGCAGTGAGTGGCATGGTGGCAGCGCCGCCAGTAGCAGGCACTCTTACTACTCAAACCCTGACCTGAGCATGGCTATGAATGGCATGAGCATGGGCATGGATGGCGGGGGCATGGGCATGGATGGCATGGGTGCGGGCAGCAGCAGCAGCAGCAGCAGCAGCAGCAGCAGTGCCCTCATCCGCCAGCGCACCATGCCTCTGCCCTGCCCCTCCCACCGTGCGCTCTCAGCTGCGCCCTCGCTCCTCCCCGGTCACTCCCCCACGCCCTCCCCCATGGTGGGCGCAACACACAGCGCGGGCACCAGCGCGGGCAGCCCCTATGCCTCCGCGGACGCCCCCTCGTGGCTGCCCCGCCAGCACACCATGCCCGCCTCCCTGCCTCCCCCTGTGCCCGCCCCTTCCTCCCCCGCGCCCGCCTCCCCCGCCTCCGCCTCCAGAACCGCTGCAGGGGCAGGGGCAGGCGCAGGGGGAGGCACAGGGGCGGAGGCGGGCGGGGGGAAGGGGCTGAGGGAGCGGCGGCCGCTGGCTTCAAAGCTAAAGGCGCTGCTGGAGTTGAAGCCGCTGAGAGGGGCGGGGGGTGAGGGCGCGGGCGAGGGGGGCAAGGGGGCGAGTGCATGGCGGCTGGGGGCCGTGGGGCAGGTGAGCCCGCTGCAGGGCGCTGCCCGGTACGTGCAGCAGGCCTTCGCCCCCCGCTCGCCCAAACCCGCCAAGGCAGCGCACGCGCAGAGGGAGCGAGGCCGGGAGGGGGTGGGTAGTGGAGGCGTGGCAGGAGGGAGGGCCGATGAGGGCGCGGGCAGAGGGGTGGGGAATGGTATGGGCGAGGGGATGGGGGAAGAAGAGGAGGGCGAGCAGTGGGGGATGCAGGGGGTGGTGGCGCGGAGGAGAGGAGGGGTGGAGGAGCAGGAGGTGTGGAACAGCGGTGCTGTTGCCATGTCGGAAGGCAGAGGCATGGGGGCCGGGGGCATGCAACCACACATGGGCGTGGGCGTGGGGATGGGGTTGCAGTCTTATTCCATGCACATGGGCCCTCCCAGAGGCGTGGGGATGGGCATGGGCGTAGGCATGGGGGTGCAGTCGAATTCAATGCACATGGGCCCGCCAACAGGCGTGGGCATGGGCGTGGGCATGGGGGTGCAGTCATACTCCATGCACATGGGCATGCCCTTGCGCTCCGCCTCCCATGCACAGCCCATGGCAGGGGAACCAGGCATGGGGACGGGCATGGGTGGCGGCAGGAGGAGCATGGGGGGAGGTGGGGGCGCAAGGGAGGAAGCAAGGCCGACGGTGGGGGAGGAGGTGTACAGGAGGAGCGCGAGCTGGAGGGGCGTGGAGGAGGGCGGGGCCATGGGGGCAATGGTGCAGGCGGGCGGCAGGGACCAGGCTGGCGCCATGGGAGGGCAGGAGGCAGCGGGGTGGGGCAGTGGGGACGCGAGGAGTTGGGGCAGTGCGGGCAACGTGGCAGCAGCCGGGCGAGGAGACGCGTACGGGGCGGAGCAGAGCTTGGATCGCCGCGCTGACGGCCATAGTGTGGGCAGCGCCACCCCCCAGCAGCAGCAGCAGCAGCAGCAGCAGCAGCAGCAGCAGCAGCAGCAGCAGCAGCAGCAGCAGCAGCAGCAGCATATGAGATTTCTCAAGAGTGATACAGCAGCGGGGCGCATGGAGGGCGAGCGAGCAGCAGGGGCGGGTGCGGGGCCCACAGGCAGTGAGGGCCAGGCGTCGTCCCAGGTGCCACCGGACCTGCCGTGGCTGCCCCCGCCAGACGCCCCCCAGTTCGTGCAGGTCAGTCAGAGCGGGGGATGGGTGAGCGCACATGAGCGCCTGCACTGTGAGCGCACATGAGCGCCTGCACTGTGAGCGCACATGAGCGCCTGCACTGTGAGCGCACATGAGCGCCTACACTGTGAACGCACCAAAGCCCCTCCACTTACCACCTGCCACCTTCCTGCCCCATTCCCCTGCCTCCCTCACCACTTTGTGTGCCCTTCTTGTACTCCCACCTTTGTCTCCTTCACTCCCTTGTGCCTCCGCCACCCGTACCCCTCGTCCCTCCCCCGTGCTCACTGCAGTGCCAGCACTGTGGGCAGATGCTAGCAGTGCCGCAGAATCTGCCGCGCAGCCGCAAG